ACAGAGTCAATTTCCTGTAATCATGTAGTTAATCTGACATAAAATGTTCAGGAGTCTAATGTTACCTTAATTTGACACTTTTGAAAGCTTTTCTGATCCGTTCCAGATGGACTGTTTTACGATTGATGATTGATTAGCTGCAATACGATGAATGTCGAAATTACCGGACTAATCTTGCAGATGGATTCATTAGGTCTCTCTTGATTCTTTGAATTTCTCCCCCCGTTGTTTGTTTGTATACATGTACGTGCTTATTATGACCAATTTTATTTCCCCTTTTTTGGAATTATTTGAGTTGTGAAGATTTAAGGTTTTAATCTGTACTTCTAGGAAGTGGGGTCCGCTCATAAGTCCGACGCCTCATAGGTCCGACGCCTCATAAGTCCGACAAAATCGCATCCCCAACCAAATAAAGGTCCATAAGTCCGACGTCTCATAAGTGCGACGCCTCATAAGTCCGTCGCCTCATAGCTCCGATGCCTCGTAGGTCAGACAAATTAAAAGCCTCATTTTTCTGACGTCGGACTAATGAGGCGTCGGACTTATGAGGCGTCAGACCTAGGCGTCAGACCTATGAGGCGGAATAAATAAATGTTATGCCTCATAAGTCTGACGCCTCATAAGTCCGAAATTTCGGACTTATGAGGCGTCGGACTTCTGATACGGCCCCTAGGAAGTTACCAACTTTTCTTTCTTTTAATTCCCTTTGTCTTTAAATTTCAGAAACTATTACCTTAACTGTTTTTCTTTTAGTGAGTTTCATTGCTAATCCTGGCACCTCATAAGATCAGTGCTGATCCACTAAAAAGATATAAAGAATATCGGAACACATTTCAGGGACAAAAAAATCCCTGATTTAAATCCACTAGTACCGACACTGCAGGGACAAAAAAAATCCCTAATTAAAAGTACACTGCATAGGGATATCAGTTATCACATTTTGCAACACGTGTGCCAACTTTGAGATGAGCTAGAAACCAAACCAAAATTATTATACCCCCAATTTTTGGATATTTTGTAGAAAACATGTTTGGGGTTTAATTTTCATCCAAGTCCGTTTCAAGGTCACTTGATCCACAAGGTTAAATTCAAGGTCAAAGTAAAGGTGCAAAGGTCATTATACATGTACTTCAAATAACCCCGACATGAAAAATAATGAGAGGTTTTGTTGCTTGGCCTAGGGCTGTCGGTGTTCGAATAATTTAGTATTCAAATTTTATTCGGTCAAGCGCACTTTCGAATAATCGTCGATTATTCAAAAGTACGCTTGACCGAATATTCAAATATTTGAAACTCGCCGATCAAGTTTTACACACGCCAGCTGCAGCTGCCTTCCTCGCTGGTCAAAAGTTGCATACAAAGTGTGCTGTTCAAATTTAAATGCGGCGATGGTTATAATGGGCCATCAGTACTAGATAACTGTTAAAGGGAAGATACAACATTTGCAAACATCACAAAACGAAATGATCAAATAATCACGAAAAACCTTGCTGGATTGTTAGGGAATGACAGTCTAAAGCATCCTGTAAAAGCGTGGCCCCCTGGTGTGCTGACACTTTCAAGAAAAATTGTATTTTTCCAACGCTGGTCAGCTGACCAGCGTTGGAGAAAACTGGCTTTTTTCAAAAACTGCTACCTTTTCCTAATTAGTTATTCCGCATTTTCTTTACATTTGATTACACACTTGTGAAGGGGTACAAGCCTTCTAGACTGATTCTCTGACCTTATAATTCCCCAAAGTCTATAATTGCTCCGATTCATCTTAAGTGGGGTCAGGGAACCAGACTACAAGAACATGATACGTATAGGTTTCCTTGGTTTTTCCAGCATCTACAAGCCCAAAACGTGAAGCAAGTCATTTTAAAAATGTTTGCTATAACTGTCTCCAAATACATTCATATCTGAAAATTGCAGCAAAAGCAAATGTTGTACATTCCCTTTTATAAGAGACTTTAACCAGCTGAAAGAATGGGACCAATAAATAGGTGTCAGACAAAAAAGATAACGTAGTGGCATATGACAATAAAAAAAATGATTAAAGTAACATCACAGTCGTGTGTGCACGTGCATCATTTTGAATATTCCACCTGGCAAATGCTATTTGAATATTCGGTTGGAGATCGAATATTTGAATATTCGGTATATTGGGGACAGCCCTAGCTTGGTCATAATGATGTTAAATTTGTCCTGATTGCAGCTTACTTTGTAAATCTGATTAATTGGCATAACTGTCATAGTTTGTTACATGTATACCAAGCATATTTTATAAAACTGATAAAAGTCCTTCAACCTCCAATACAGGAAAGGTCACATAACTGCCGACCTTCACAGTTAGGCATAGCTGCTAATTGCAGGAGCCTAAATATAAATATATATATATGTGATATGGACACCAGTCTGTCACTGGCCCCCAGCTGTGAGGCACGCACCCCCCTGATTGGTTGGATTGAAAGGACTTGGGTTGTGTGTAGGCCAGCTGTTTAAGGCAGGAGCATTTCTGGTATGTGACAGCTAAGTGTTTCTGGGTAATTAGCGTCTTAAGACAACATCGAGGCCAGAACTCCGCATCACGGAGGTTGAACTTAGGGTCAGACATTGGGCATTAAAGGCATATATCCCATTTGCATTATCTTTAAAGTAACTTAACAAATTATTATTAAAACCTGGCTTACTTGGATTAAAGATCATCTTGTACCATGGGCATCAATCCTGGGGGTGGGGGGGGGGGGGGGGAGAGACAGGGGGACATGTTCCCCCCCCACACCTTTTTGAAGGATGGGGGACACAATATCAAATGTCCCCCCTCCCCCCCTCCCCGGATTTTTGAACTCGTGTCTCATACAGGACCCTATGTATCACATGTATCTTTTGCTAAGAAAATATTGGTTAAAGTGGTAAGAAATTGCCTCAGATTGTACCACAGCATTTAGAATCCAACATTTTCCAGGGCCCTTATTAGCGGGCCCTGAACCCTACGCCTTTAGCTGAGAATATAATAACTTATCCAGTGATTTCAACCTCGAAAATGATATCTAAATTTGTCTCTTTTGCTAAGAAAATATTGGTCAATAGAGTGGTCAGAAATTGCCTCAGATTGCACCAAAGAGCATCTGGTTTTAGAATCAATTTTTTCGGGGCCCTTAAAAGCAAAAATTCTTATCTTTTGCTAAGAAAATATTGGTTAAAGCGTGGAGGAAAGTGGTCAGAAATTGCCTCAGATCATACCACAGAGAATCTAGAATCCAAATGTTTTTTTTTTCGGGGCCCTTAAGCGGTCCCCGAACCCCACACCGTAAGGGCTTCGTGCTTGACGCTCGCATCAGTTCTGATCAAGGTATGTCCCCCCCTCCCCCCACTTTTGAAAGCGATTGATGCCCCAGTCTGGTACTAAACATCCCATGAAATCATTCCGTCTGGCAATGGCTTGCTGTCGTTTAGAAGAAATCAAGAAATGTAGGTGATTTCCGCCGATCAGCCAATTGACTGATTTTCGGAAATAAACATTCTATCTATAGACAACATTGTATTTTGTGATCAAAAGGCAGCCTTTTGATCACAAAATACGTCTCAGGCGTTAGGCGTCTCAGTAATGGATCACCGGTCATTGACATAAGTTCCGCATGGACACATTTCATGTCTTACAGCGCTAGCTAATGAAAAAATGGAACATTAGGTCTGATTTACGGGCCAGTGATAACGCGGCTATGCCAGCAAACTGTGTAATTCATTTTGCAAGTGTTTACCCCATCAAAATTGATTACTCAAGTCAAGGCATTATTACAAAACATGCGTATTGAACTCCAGAAATGTCAACTTAAGGCCAAAAAAAAAAGTCTCCGGTTTCTGGTATGGAGCTTGCCCAAAAAGTGATGCGGCGACGCGGCTTTTTTTTTTTTTTTACCTGATTTTTTTGCTTCAAATGTGTGCTGATGACTGCAAATGGTGCCCGACTAAACTTAGTGCAAATATATGGGAGTCCAGAGAGGCCACATAAAGCTTATTCTCGAGCATAACCCAATCTAAAAACACGTTAAAATTGTGCAGCAGCAGTATTCCAGTCAAACCAGTGAGTTTGGCGGTTTTGGGACATCATCTTTCATTAAAAAAAAAACTTTTTTATTTTGCCGACGCGCATGGCTACGGCGACGCGCGCGCATACCAGAAACCGGAGACTTTTTTTTTTTGACCTAAGCTGTACAGCTGCATTTCTGGGATTGGCCTTTTCATCACTTTGGCTGGGGATGGTTGAGTTATCAGTGGCATAATCCGTGTCAAAAAGTGGGGGGGGGGGAACCAAAATTCAAAAATAGCCGGCTATGGACATCCAAAAGTTTTTTGGGGGGTGGGGGGTGAGGGTGGGTAGGGCGCTAGGGGCGCTGTTCATGATACAGATGTACATACATACTAACGTGCCATAACATCCAAACGGCACATTTAAAGTTTCATACTTTTCCTCTGTTTTCAGTGCTTTTTAATACATTTTGGTTGTTGAAACGTTCCAAACATACCTCAAAATCTGATTTTTTTTCCCTACAAGAAAGTGGGGGGGGGGGGATAATCAAATGGCCCTCCCTCCTTATCAACAAAAGGAGGGATATATATGCCCCCCCCCCCCCATCCAAATTTATGCCCCTGTGAGTCATTCTATAAATGTAGGGTTCACAGTGTTACATTTTTTGGGTCCCTGTTACCCTGGTGCTTTGTTATGTACCATTCAAGTATCATTAAGAATGACTTCATTCTTAATGATACTTGAAGGTAGTTTGGGCAGTAAAAAAGGTGGACCCAAAATTTTAAGAGAGACCCAGTTACTTTAACTAAATTCACATCCTGTCTGTAACATTTCTTTTCATCTGATATTTCTCTCAGTAATTCTACCCAAAGCTCATTGAATGCCATTCCTCTGAAACGACTGATCCGTTTGAAGATGTGAGTTAAAGTCACTCATGATTTTTGAATGTAATAAAATTGAGACTTTTGTGTGTCAATTTTATTTGCAGAATTCGCGTCTCCAGCTCCGCTGCGTCGGGCTCGTATTTTCCAGGGCGCCTTCCAAGGGGCTCATCTATCTGGCAGTAAGACAAGTAGCATGAGTAGCATCCTGAAACCCTCACCGGTTCCCCGCAGGCCGGTACCCGGCAGCAACAACGCCACAGCCGCCACCAACGCCTCGGAGGACAAAACAAACCACAACACTATCTGGCTCCGAAAGTTGGCCAGCAACGGAAACGCCGTCAATCATTTCCAGGACGATTCAAGCGACGAGGAGGAAGTGTTCGCCTCGGACGCGTTACTGAGACGGAGCAACAGCGAAGCCGACAAGGACGGGTTGGAGAGGCGGCATTTTGAGCTCGCGCCCAGGCCTGGGGGCCGACTCCGATACCGCTCAGATCCCGGCAAGAGCCAATCAAGACAGCCGCTTTCGAACAGACTCAAACAACGGGAGCCTGCACAGCAGGTCATCACTGACCAACACTGGGAGCCGGACGCAAAGGCAAGGAGAGCACTGCTCGGACAGTCAACAATAGTATGACCCATGAAACAGCGCCCTCAGTTGATTTTACGTTACAAGCTGCAGGCAGCATTGCTTATTTTGTTTACATCTTGCCTTTTTAAAGAAAAGCTTTTTAATTGACTCTGGTAGTATTTAATAGAACTAAATGATCATTTTTAACATTATTTATTCTTTAAATTGACAAATGAAATGGAAGTAATCATCTTTTAAAAAAACTTCTTAAAGCCTTGGTCACAAAGTAAAAATCAACCAAGAGATATTAAATGTCCTGATTTGGGCGATCCAGGCAATAATTCAATGTCGATAGTTTTCTACAATATTATTATTATTATTATTATTAATCATTTCTGGTAATGAAACCAAGGATTCCTCAAAAGCGCTCTAGGCACTGTAGCTCGCAAGCCTGAAGAAACCTGTGGAGAGAAGACAATTAGAAGAAGTTACAGTTTTAGAGGTGGGAGGAAAAGCCCAGGAGAATATTCTGGGGAAAACCCACGGAATCAGGCAGGGACTGAAAACCCAATCCACAAATTGGCCCAGGCGGAATTCGAACCCGGGTCACAGTGGTGGAAGGTGACGAAAGTACCGCTACGCCAACTCCCCTTCAACAGTAGGGGGCTTGGGGCTCCCCTCCCCAAGAAAAGAGGGAAATAAAAACCATATGTAAAGGAAAATTCATTGAAGAGAGCACCCAAAGTGATATTGAAATTTAACCATCGCATGGTATTTCATTTTGTAGGATAACGTGCCCCTACTGTAGATAATGGAGAATTTAATGCATTGTACATGTATGCACACAGGCGTGGATCCGGGATGGGGGGGGGGGGGGGGGGGGGTGGGGGTTAGGGGTTGCCCCCCCCCCCCCCCCCCCCCCCCCCCCCCCCCCCCCCCCCCCCCCCCCCCCCCCTCCTGGCCCTCCTGTGTTCCTCCCTTCGGAAAAATAAAAAACTTTCGATCTCAGGCTGTACTCAGTGGTCATACATGGGTCATATGGCTGGTTGCCACAGGCGCCTTTACATGCCTGCGGCTCGACCACGTTATAGCCGCATCCTACGTACGCAATTCAGCTTCTCAGCTGCGAGTGAGGATGAGTAGCCTCACAATTTATTATTACTTTAACTGTGGTAGTTTGTGTACCAAGACCATTCTCATAAAACCAAATTTAAAAAGTGAATATACATGTATCTTTGTTTTCCAGTGGTACTTTTTTACTTGTGCCAAACCCTAACTACCAAACCAACATGAATGTTGCGAAGTATTATTAATATTATGTAAACAATTGTTTTCAAAGTGACAAGTTCAAGATAGTAACTTTGATCTGTTTGTAACTTAACAGAGGCATAAGGAGGGGGGGGGGGCGACTGCCCTTTTCCATTCAAGAGCCCTTTTTTCACCAGCGTTTACCCCCCAATATTTGAAGAGTAGATTTCTTTTGTTAAACAAATGCAATATTTTTTTAAAGTGCCTTTTTATGAAAAAAAAATCCCTTATTTTAAAACAGCCTTTAACGAGTGCCTTTTTTTGGGCAACTGTGCCGCCCTGAAAAGTGCCATCTATTGTCCGATAGTGTGCATGATCATCCGGTTTGAACAGCGCCCTCATTTGAAGATAGTTTAGCCCCCCCCCCCCCGCCCCGTCTACATTTCAGCACGGATATGCGAGTGCCCTTTTCATGAACCCTCCCCCAATAAAAAACAACCTTGCTACGCCTCTGCTAAAACCCACTGTCCTGAAGCCAACAATGATACAGTACTTAATTGGCAATATATTTAGTGCAATGTGCATTTACAAAATGTTGTAATATTTTAAATAAATACCAAACAAAAGCAGGTGTAACATTCTATATAACTTATAGGTTGGACAACATAACTATTGTTTTCTTGTGAAAGATGATGACTCATTACCAAAATTTTCTGTCACTGCTTCTAAAACCTCCATGTTGAGTATTAGAAGATAAAAGATTATTATGAAACTGTTATGGAAATGTGGGAAAAGTGATGTCTTCTTAAAAGAACACTTCCAGCATCACAGACATTAACAATCACACAATGTTGTTTGTACTTTTTGAGTGCAGTGATTAAACCTGGAGGGTTTTTTTCTCTTGAAATCTTAGACATGCATATCCATCATCTAGTAATGGTCAAGTAGATTACTGACTTGGAGTTTTGGATCATTTCTCTGAATTATTAATTAGATATCACGGTTAACTGGCTCTGTCACATACATTACATGTTTCTTCTTAAGAGTAATGATCAGTATTTGCCTTCAATTCTAAGTCCCTATATGAAGAAAATCTTTATCCGAGGAAAAGGAAAATTAACAATCGTGATCATTCATGAGCAATGCCTTTGATACAGGTCAATAAAAATATGTTTACATAAGGACATTTACTTTGTAAAACTCCAGCATATTTTAACTGAAATTCATTGTCAACCCCCCCCCCCCTTTCAAATGTATCAATGTGTTATTGTTCATAATTCTCATAATCTTATTTTTTACGTCTTATGTCATGACCAGTGCTTGGATTCTAGCCCTATTTACACTGTTCAAGAAAATTTATCTTTAAACTTTTCCTTCAAAGAAATTTGACCAAGTAAATATGTTGGTGAGTAACGTATAGAAATATTTTGTGAACTGTAAATGATACACTGTACTCTACATTTTGTGTATATTTGTACATAATGTAAAACACTTTCTGATTATTCCTTCAATCTAAATTATTGGAAAATGTATTAAATCTATTGCCATGCCTGATATATAAAAAACAAAATCAATCATCAAAGCTGATTTTTTATTGTCAATCTCTTCCTTGTTTTTTCTTCCCACTTTGAAAGATGGCTTTGGTTTTCTTTTTCTTTTTAAATATAAATGTAACCATTTTGGGAAATTCATTGGTTAATTGGAATCAAGTTCAACGTTCATGCGTGGACACAAAAATTCTTCCTAAAACCTTGTTGGCGCTCGCAAACCGCAACTTCTGAAAAGTTTTGAATGGACATATTCCACCACTAGATGGCGCCATTTCAATTCGATGTCATGCATGCAGGATTGAGTCCTCTACTTCGGACTAGCCATGCTCCCGAAAGTCTGTTGAGGTGGTCCCTTTGTATACGACGAGGAAGGAAACCCCCAGCTGTAGATGTTGGTAGAAAACTTTCAAACGCAACTGGCCCCGCCGGGAATTGCACCAGGGGCACAGCGGTGTTGGTACAGGTCATGAAATCACCTGGCGTTAATTTTTTTCCAAAGTGAAATAGACTAGTCGAGATGGTATCTTTAAATATGACATGCATGGTGTTAATCAACTGAGGGGATTATGAATTAAAAAAAAATCCACATTTGCAATTACTTGTTTGCCCATTGTTTAAGTATTACACAGCCTTATTTGGGCCTAGGCGAGCACGTGGCCTACTCGCTACTCGCGATCGATCGCGGGCGAAAAGTTTGCCCGAGTCATCTTGCTTGCCGCATGAGGGCGATAGATAACCAAAGATTCGTCCTAAACCCAACCTCGTTTCCATGGTGTCGAGTAGTACGCTCCTACCATTGCCTGCTCTTTCAGAAAATAACCCCTGGAGACGAGGTTGGTTTTGAAACACGACCATCACTTCGCAGTGAAGACCATAACATTAATTTTAAATAATGAAACTGCACAAAAACAACATTCCAAAGGAAATCCAGAGATGCTATAGAATGGGTTTTGTCTTTTCATTCCGAAAAACGTGACTTCAAAGAAATTTAAAAAAGATGCACATTGAAATTTTTAATGAAACATCAGTTTGTATTTTAATGAAACATCAGTACTTCAAAGTACTGTTTCCTTATTTGATGGTTATTCAAAAATGAAGTTTGAGGTGAATAGCTTTAATAAGATTAATTTCAGAATACATATCATTAAGAAATATGAAGTGCATAGTTTTAGTTTCATAATGAAGGTGGTATATTTCGTGGACTTAAGTCTGTCCTATTCCGATCATAATATCCCTGAATCCAAAAAAGTACAGCCAATGATAAAATGAAATCGAGATGTAATTCATTCACTCTGGTCATTCCATTCTTAGTTAATTCTTAAATTGTTTTATTAGTTCAACCTTATACATTTTGTTGCTGAGGCATTATTTTTCTGTTTAGTTGGATCAAGTTAATCCCCACTGAGAACAGCGCGTATGATATTAATATTCCATCAATGAAGCGTTGAATTAGCAAATACAAATTGGCTTATGTTTGCCATCAGTTGTTGTCATACATATTATTTTGATTATTCATAGTTTATTATTATTTCATTAGAATGACACATGGCAGCCAGGGGGCTGAATTACGGTAATGTTACAACCGAGAAAGCACTCCGAGAGCGCAAACCTCCACCTAGGCCAAATAATTCCCCGCCATATTGTCAGTACACCCAAAAGAAATCACATAAATGGTGGAGAATCCTAAAAAAAATCCTGGATCCAGACCCAGATCCGGATCACTTCAAAAATGTAATCGATTTGTACTTATACCAAGGACCACCTTTTTTTCATGCAAATGCGTCCATAACTTTTTGAGTTATCTTGTTTAGACAAACCAACCAACCAACCAACAAACAAACAAACCAAATCCGATGAAAACATAACTTCCTTTGGCGGAGGTAATAATTCTAGTTATTAAAATGCAGACACGTTAAAACAAAATCTACAAAGTAAATACTGCCATAATCAGACTAGTGTAATACGTAAAAACATCAGAAAATGTAACTTAAAAATATAATAAGGGAAATGCGTGGGGGTCGGGGGGGGGGGAGCTAGGTAAATGTCGGGGCTAGGAATAAGGTTGGAGGGCCGAATGGGTGAGTAAGAGAGATGGTATTAGGATTAGGAAGTGAATAAGAAATGGTGAGTTTAAAATCATAAAATACATTAAATGAAATCTTGAATAACATCTAAAACATAAAATGATGCTTGAGGTAGAAAGTCTTATTTTAAAATTCTTGTGAGTGAGGGGATCTCTGATTTGCTAAATCTTTGAGCGGGACATTTTTGGGATAACCAGCGCATGACCACTACTCGACCACAATTCTTTACAATTTATTTTATCTAGAGGCAGCATATCTCGACATATTGCTGATGACATGAGCTTTTCCCCCCAAATTTGTACAGAAGGGTTTGGCGTCTGATTTCTAGCGTGGGGATATCAAACCTGTCGATGGCGTCATCATAATTAACATATTCAAGACTCCGCACTTGTTCTATTTCATGACTTTGCTTCACTGTTATTGAGGTATGCCAGACTTGACTTGTATATTCTAGAATGGGTCTAACACAACATTTAAATTCGCCAATATGTCAGGTTAAGGAATCTTGGCCTTTTTTTTTTTTTTTTTTTTTTTTAGGATACCTGCAGGGTATATAGGCCTAACTTTAAAGACAATGTTATTAACACATTATGGACCACTAGGTCATTCTGTACCGTGATACCAAGCAATTGCATATAGGAAACTTTTTTAAACCTACAGATTCCAGTGAAAAAGACGGTCCTTCAACTTTTCTATTTAGAAAATTACATGCACACCATTTCACATTATAGTTAATTATGCCCGTAGCCAGCCTTCCACCCCGCCGCCCGACCCAGTTTTGTAGTTTTTTAGCTCGCTGCAATTAACTTGACGCAAGAGGGCGCTTATTCAGAGACCGTAAAAAAAAAAAATAGTCAGGTGCCAAAGTCAAATGTATTTACGCAACTTCTTCATATGGATACCAGACATGTCCTTTTATGGTTACGTTTCAGACACACCTCCAGACCATTCCAGTTCGCAATGAAAAATGGGGGGAAGTATTTTGAATGTATTTGCTTTGACTTCTTTTTTGGGGGACAATTCAATGGAATGTGATAATGAATATTGTATCAGTAAATCTTAAATTATTACAACATAAACATGACTTGCCAAATATAGCTGAAAGATTCTTTATATATGATTGTATTTTAAAGGCTTCCCTAAAATTGAATGGAAGGTCTCTAATCGTCATTGTCAACAAGACGAGCCTTTCTTGTGTAAACAAGAAAATCGCGCTACATATTATCGATGGCTTCTTCACTGTAACCGCACGCGCCGCACGTACTGTATGTGTCGTATCCGCGTATGGCCTGGAGAAAATCCGGCATACTGTATCACATGATTACGTAAATGATCACAGAGACGAATTTGAGAAGTTGATGCGAACGTAGTCAAGATGGCCAATCACTTCGTGTATCGAAATTTATTATTCGCAAGGTACAGTTGTCGTTCTTCCCAACGAATTAACCCATCGAAAGTGTGTTGTTCTCGCCTGAAAACGACATCAGCGGCAACAAAAATCTCCCTTGAAAATGGCGACGGACCGGGAAATTCCGCAGAGCGCGCACAAGAAGTGACCAACAACAACAGCCCCAGTCACGCCAGTGTGCTTGGCCTTGACGGGACAGCGAACACGATGGAGTCACCACCGGCCAGTGTATCCGGTGACATAAGGGCTGGACTAGGGAGGTTAGATCTCGTCTTCGGTGACTGCAAGGAAGCGTACCGGAGCAAGACCACCGTGGAGGTCGCACGGGCTTTCTTGGTTTTCAAGTTGTGCCAGTTGAATTTTTTGGTGACCCACAATAAAGAGGTACGCACTGAATATGTCTTTAAACTTGGCATACATGATAAAGAGTGAAGGACACAAAGGAGTAAAATTAAGATTAAGAATAAGAGTAAGGTAGTGAGAAAATGGCATAAAACTGACATCACAAAAGACAGGAATGCCCTAATTATGCGCCTATCAATTGTTTCCCCCACCCTTCCCCTCCCGGGCTGCCCCACCCAAGACGTGGGGATTGTCACTTTTGAAGTGACAAAATCCCCACCCCTCGGGCACAATTTAAGTGACAATCCCCGACCATGCCCTGACTTACATACATGGGGCGCACTAGTGATTGCCTTTCCATTAGTACGCCAACGTTAACAATGTAATTTGAATGACCCAAAACCCCACCCTGGGGAATGAAAAATGTGACCAAATCCCGACATCGGACCTGGGGCAGCGCGGGGTGGGAGGGGTGGGGGCAACATTTGATAGGCGCATTACAGTCTGTGCACAATGCCAATTATGATAATTATAAAATAATAAGGAAAGATTTCCATATACGAAATTTACTAATTTTCCTCTGTATTGACTAACAAGCCCCCCAGATAGCAATTTCATGTCATCAAAGTCAATTTGAGCAGTGAGAAAATACAAGCATTTTCTTAGAAAACACTTAGAATTTTTCAGTCCAATCGCATAGGGTTTGTACACAGGGTGTTGAGTGAACTTCGTATACGGAAATCTTTCCAAATTGAGTTACCCAGCCCTAAATTTTATCATTGGGTTGACAACCCAATGATAAAATTTAGGGCTGGGTAACTCCAGCTAGGTCAGATGGTGTATAAAAGTAAAGATAATCAGTCACTGTAACACATTCACTACTTACATATCTCAGTTGCGTATTTTTTTTTACATTATCTCACAGTCACAGATTTGTCAAGTGAGTAAATAGTGGTATCAATCTTGTTTTTGTTACAAAAGATAACACATTTAAAGTTAGAACCCTTGTTTTGGCAAAATTGCTCTAATTCTGATAAACACCAGCTCAAGTGTGTCATATGTTGAAAGCGGATGTTTACTTTGTGTGATAATAGAGATATAAACAGAATGCTTATAAAAAAAATACGTGCGTAGGATGTATTTTACGAAAAAATGCAACTGCTGAATGCTGATGATGCAATCGGTTGGCAGCCATCCAAGCATATCAACAGAATAATGATTCTGCTTGGCAATGGTGACTTTTGGAATTCCTGTGTGCATTAGGCGAAGTAAAAAAAACCATGTTTCTCGTCCCCACCCGCTTCCTTTTTGGAGGCCGCCTGGATTTTTTTATTAATTTTTATTTTTGAAAAATGCAGTAAAAAATCACTGAAAAAGTCCACAAATTCAAAACTGTTCATTGTAGACCAATACAACTCTAAATGACACTGTAAATATGTTCAGTTCTCTTGTCCAACTTGTCTTTCATTTCAAAAGTGTCTTTGAACAGTGGAAACACCAACGGTTGCAGGAAATTTTAAAATGGCGGCCATTTTGAAAAAAAATAAAAAATAAAAAATAAAAAGTCCCTCTTCCTCCTTTTTTTTCAAAAACCCTGACGAGAAACATGTTTTTTTTTTATTCGACCTTAATTCACGGAAGAAGGAATATTTACCCACTATTAGATTTTGGCACACACCAAGGGGTCTGTAAGGTCCAAAAATTAGCTGTTGGACTTCAGACTCGCATTATGTTTGTTTGTTCCGTTCTCTGTATCCCCCCATAGATCATGAAATTCTCCAGGAAGATTCTTGGCAAGCGTCTGTTTGAGCTCGCCATGGACGCCACGTTCTACGGTCACTTCGTCGCCGGCCGTGACCAGGCCTCCATCAAGCCCACCATTGACAGGCTAGCTCAGTTTGGCGTGGGATCCATCCTGGATTACAGCGTGGAAGAGGATATGCCCCACAGTGAGGCCGTGGAGGCAGAGATGGAGTAAGAATTCCCCCACTTGGATACCCCCTCCCACCCCAGGCCCCCCTAGACCCCAGCCCCCTAACCATCCCTGGAATAAGATAACTCCCTACTCCCATACCAATCCCCCGACCTAGCCCCTCTCCCTCACCACAGCTTCCCACCCTACCCCCACACCTACTCCACCCATACACCTACACCACCCCTAACCCACACCTACTCCATCCCTACCCGCACACCTACCCCACCCCTACCCACATCCCCTTCCCACATCCCCTTAACCCACACCTACTCCATCCCTACCCGCACACTTACCCCACCCCTACCCACATCCCCCTAACCCACACCTACTCCATCCCTACCCCCAGACCTACTCCACCCCTACACCTATACCACCCCTAACCCACACCTACTCCACCCCTACCCGCACACCTACCCCACCCCTACCCACATCCCTACCCACATCCCCCTAACCCACACCTACTCCATCCCTACCCGCACACTTACCCCACCCCTACCCACATCCCCCTAACCCACACCTACTCCATCCCTACCCCCAGACCTACTCCACCCCTACACCTATACCACCCCTAACCCACACCTACTCCATCCCTACCCGCACACTTACCCCACCCCTACCCACATCCCCCTAACCCACACCTACTCCATCGTTACCCCCAGACCTACTCCACCCCTACACCTATACCACCCCTAACCCACACCTACTCCACCCCTACCCGCACACCTACCCCACCCCTACCCACATCCCCCTAATCCACACCTACTCCATCCCTACCCGCACACTTACCCCACCCCTACCCACATCCCCCTAACCCACACCTACTCCACCCCTACAGAAACTGTAGATTAGGCAGTTTGGGAGTCTTTAATAACTTTTGTTGTCATCAACATCATCTTTAGCCAGCCTTGATGTGTTCATATTTTTTGCAACATTTTCTCCTTTATCATTTAAATCATCATACACAAACAAAACACACTATACTCATTAATTTGGGATTGTGCGAGCTGTAGCAACCGGCTTCTTTAATTAGCCTACACTTGTTTCTTCAACTTCTCCAATGCACATCATTAGTATTGATAACTTTGCACAATATACATCAAGATACATTATATATATCAACATCACAAACTGTAAATTCGACCCATTGCTTCTGTTGATCGCCAGATACGAAAAACCACAAACCTTTTTTTGAAAAAGTGGAAACGTATGCACCGACCACCGCTCTCAAGCTAGCTAAGCAATGATAATGGGAGGTTCTTAAAACAACGTATTTTGAGATTGAAATTACTTTAACCTTTACTATAACATATAAATTAAATAAATTACTCGTGTTGCGTTGCTGCTGGCAAGCGTGAAGTGACGCGTTTCTCCGCTAGCATCACAAAGCACTCCCTATTCATAATTCTTGCTCTGACCATCCAACCATACAATCATTAGCATATCAGTGAAAATTCGATGCATTCTTATTCACTCTGGACTCAACCGAATACATCAACATTTTTTTTTTTAGAATTTCACAACTTGGTGCTTATTTGCTTCTCAATATTTCCAATGTTTTCTTCATTTCTTGCCAGGTCTTGTGTATCACATGCTGAAACAGAAAAAGAAGGTAAATTATGAAGTAAATGGTTTTATTTGTAGTCGTAAGTATCCAATATAAACCTTATGCTTTTAAAGGTAGAATATTATCATATGTCTTAACCGCTAGGCCATTCCTAGCCTAGCGGTTAAGAACACTGGACTCATGCTCTGGTGTTTCAGAGGCAACAGTGGCGTGGGTTGGAGCCCAGGCCCAGACACTTGTGCCCTTAAGCAAGGCACTTAACCATTATAGCTTCGTCCTTCAGATGGGACGTTAAGCTGGAGGTCCCATGTGTTGTATAGGGCCTAACGCACGTAAAAGAACGCAGTAACACTTATCGCTAAGAGAAAGGGTTTGCCCCGGTGTTTCTGGCCTCCTAGTTATACTCCCTTGTGGAAGTCCTTATAGGAGAAGAACCAACCAAGTACCAAGTAAGTCAAACCAGTGAGTTTGGCGGTTTTGAGACATCATCTGTCATTGAAAAAAAAACTTTTTCAGTTTGACGACGCGCATGGCTACGGCGACGCACGCGCATACCAGAAACCGGAGACTTTTTTGGGGGGCCTAATAGTAAGTAGAGTCAAAATATTCATGTTAAACATGTTCTATGTATTTTATTAAAGCGAAATACAAGAAAAAGTTAGCTTTTTGAGGTGAGAAAAAAATAAATAATTTTTTTTTTTTTAAAGGATGCGGCTTCAAAAATGGATGCGGGCGGGGATGATCAACTGGTTTTTACTTGGCCTTACTAGGTTAAAATAAAGAACACCCTCAGAGATACTGAATTGCATTTAAGGTCTGTTCTGAGAAAAACAAATAAATTGATGTTGGTAACAAATTAAAAGCATGTTTCTTTTTAAAATTTATTAGTAATATTTGAAATCAAAAAGCGTGATCCATTTTATGTTCACAATTTCAGCCCCCAAAACTTTTTTTTTCCTCCAAATATTTGTTACAGAAACCCACCTGAAGCAGTTCAAAGCCTACCGGGAGTTTGCAGACAGAAGGACCGACGTGGAAAGCGCACGGACGTACTTCTACGAAGACGAGGAAAAATGCGACGACAACCTGAAGACCCTGCTGGACTGTGTGGATGTGGCTGGTGAGTTGCGAGGGTCAAGGTGGTGGATGAGGGTGATTTGACCTATGACCCCTTATCACCCATGACCTCTAAAAGTCCATGTATGCGGGCGCACTTTTGACCAAAACTGAATGACAGGCAACAGCCGTACCAATGCACATTATCAAAATTTGATGCAAGCTAGTGAGGGCGCAATTTATCACAACCCATGACGTCATGCAAAACGAGGCTTTCGTGAACAATGGCAGCGAAAGACGTCCGAATTCAACTCGAAATTACAAGATAACTAGACCTCTGAAGGTGCAGAATTTCATGTTTTGTTGATATTAAGCAGTCGTAGACGGCATTGTGTGAGTATAAAGTGACAAAATAGTTGCGATTTCAAATTGCTGTTCGGCTCCCCGAGCAACGGACTTTCTGTGCACAGACCACATGTGGGATGTAGTCCAGTATTAGGCCCCCCCCCAAAAAAGTCGGTCTCTGGTCAGCGCGCGCGTCGATTTTAATCATGCGCGTCGATCTTTTTTTTTTCCAAAATGTTCCGCGGTAGCTCCAACAGCGCCATCTATTTCCGCACCTCCTCAATTTTTTTTTTACCAAAGAGCACCAAGGAATGGGAAATTGCACCAAGGCAAATGATCGAAAGCACCAAGGCAAATTATGGAGGACACCAATGTACATGAGGACACCAAAAAAGCAAAATAGTACCTACCTTGTCTGTACAATCCAAGCTTGGGAAAAAAAAAAAAGGCGAAAAAAAAAAAAAAGCCGCGTGGACGCGTCAATTCCGGAACTTTGGTCTGACCAGAGACCGAATTTTTTTTTTTTTGGCCTTACCGTCACATTAATGGGACCAACTGTCAACCTGTTTGGAATTGGTAGCAACACTTGAAATTGCTCTCATGGGTAAATAGGCAATTCATTACCCTCAAAAACAGAGCTGTGAGAATTTCTCGATTCAATCTTGATAGGTTGGGCAATGACAGGCTCCAAAATGATCTAGATTGGTAATATTAACTGTCCATTTTAACTTGTATGCCATGACTTATTCCCCTCGAAATGACTGCGTACGTTATGCCAAATATGAAACTGGCTGTCAGGTCTCTTTGAGTATGCTAAAGCATTAAATGCTAATACGTTTATCCACGTGTTCATTGATGACAGGTGTTTGCACTGTTATGTACACAGCTTCACACGTATACGTTTACTTTCAGAAGATAGGCGATTAGTGAACCAGACATTTTATCCAAACGGAAATGGAATCAATTAAGTGTAATATATTGTGCAGTTTGCAAAAATTAATTATTGAATTCTAATTTTGAAGCATACACGTAACTTGCATGTGATTTTAAAAAATATCGTTCCAATACAAGTTTCAGAGTGTGTCATTTTCAAACTGTTTTATCTGGTTCCTACAAAAAAAAAGGTTGTACACAAACTAAAACAATATTCTGGAAGCCGAGGAGCAACTGAGTGCAGATTTTTATTTCTTCTCTCTCCTCTAAGTTTCATTTCTCTTTCAAGGTTTTCAGCAGAGCTTACGACACCAGCTTTAAAACACCAGCATAATTTCAGCCACAAACAGTGTGTTACTAGCGTCTGGCTGTACATGTGATCTGCACACCGTGCCCTCTGGAGACATGCACACAATAGGGAACAAAAGATTGTTTACGTCTCCACAGGGCAATTTTTATAGATGAATACGTCTCCATGAGGTTTTCACGAAGTAGATATATGGATTTAACTCAAAAATTAGGAATTTCCAAGGCATGTTGATTTTTCGCAAATGGTGGAGTTTCAGAAAAGGGATATTAAGTCCGAATTTCAGCCAAGGAAATTGATTGTGGTTAAAATAAGAGCATTTTGAAACTGTACTTTCAAACTCGAAAGCTCAAGTACATGAGAACGAAGAAATGTCTCCACAAGGATACAAATTTCAGTAGGTACATGTATTTGCTGTAGACATGCACTATTACCCGCACCACCAGTCAATAAACGTGGGTATAATGGTTCCGTATATTGAGTTGCAGGTTATTCAAACTACACTATAATTACGCTGGTACTCTTTGTATTTCTCCCCTCCGTGACCAAACATCAGGCTTTTCATATGTGCCTGCCACATTGAGTTTATTGAAGAGATTTGTGAGTGCACAAACTGTGCAGGCATGACACTATCGTGTCTTGAAAAGGAGCCAATGCCTTTTTTTTCTTGCAGACAAAGTTGATCCAGGGGTGACATACAAACTGGTTTAGGCCCCCCCCCCCCCCCCAAAGTCTCTGGTGTCTGGTATGCGCACACGTCGCCATAGCCATGCGCGTCCAAAACTGCCAAACTCACTGGTTTGACTGGAATCCTGCTGCTGCACAATTTTAACATGTTTTTAGATGGGGTTATGATCGAGTATAAGCTTTATGTGGCCTCTCTGGACTCCAGTATATTTTGCACTGAATTTAGTCTGGCACCATTAGCAGTCATCAGCTGACATTTGAAGAGACAAAAAGATGCGTCGCCGCACCACTTTTGGGGCAAGCCCATGCCAGAAACTGGAGACTTTTATTTTTTGGGCATTATAGGATCATTTGCATTTATCTCAAAAGTAATCTAGCAACTGGATTGTTAGAAAGCTTATTTGGATTAAAGATCAATCAGATTATTCCGTCTGGCTTGCTGTCATTTAAGAAGAAATCAAGACATGTAGGTGATTTCCAATGATCAGTCAATTGACTAATTGTTTGGAAATAAATAATGCTACTACAGACACAACCATGTTAACCAAAAGATTGTGCATGGTTTTCCACTATTTTCTTGAAAAGTGTAATATCCACTGAGCTGAAACTGCATCAGGTTAGCTTTTTAAAATTATATTAATTTGGACAAATTCCTGAAAATGAAATGATCGTACACCTTTAAACAAATGGAATAACTACTCTACCGCACCATTATTCAATCAATCACATCTAAGCCTATAATTGGCAGTCTTCTGCTGTTTGTTGAAGATACAAATAAATAATACATAAAATATATTAAAATAACTAAGCCTCTGGAAAATAAAATTTTTAAAAAGGGTTTAGTCAATTTTAAAAAGTTTCATAGACATCATTAATGAGGTACAATGTACCTGTATTTATATCAACATCAGTGTATTTTTAAAGATGGGAATCAGCAGTCTGTCTTTAATAAATGTTTATTTGATTATATTTTTGTAATGCTTTTGGGAGTCATGAACATATGGAACAATAAATAGGCAGTATGCTACATGTAATTTTGTTTATTGCATTTATGTAGATGAGGCAGATGTTCACATTTGAAAATATTAGTATTCCCTGTCCAGATACCCTGTTATTTGCTGAAGTAGCATTCCTTTTAAAAAGGAAATATCTTTTGTGTTTTGGGAGAATTTATTTGTTTTAGCGTTGACAAACTTATTCACTTGAGCTGTGGCCCTAACAAAGGAATCATCTAAAATTCAACACCAGTTGATTTTCAGTTGTTTGATGGATTTTAGAACACCGCACTTAACGATGGTTCAATTTTGTTCAAGTATAGAAGAAAATATTATTAGAATTTATTGATTACTCTGTGGCACTGTGAAGAAATATTAATATATTCTCTGTTAAGTATAAAACTATTAGGGGTGCACACCTGTAAATAGGCCTAAACCCATCCGCCGAGCTCATGAATAAAAGTTATACAAATGTACCCTCAAAATATGCTATATTAGAGTTCTGAGAGCCATAACATTGGGGTATTGAAGAGATATGGCAATGAACCTCTGGCCCGGACTCGGGGCTTCCAATTCTGAACAGTTTAGATACAATTTGGCTCGAAAATGGCGCTATTTTGCCATGTTGTGGAGGGATCGTTTTTCAAGATGGCTACCGTTCTGCTTTGGGGAAAATAGGGGTCGTCTTCTTTGGGCGAGAATTTCTTGAAAAGTCAATGGTCAACCCACCAAAAAATTAAAAGAAATTTAAAGATGACATGTCGATCATCATTTTTCTGTGCAGCTTAAATACCTGTGAGAGTTCTGAGTATTTTTAAAAGAATTTGGAAGTATGGGCATTTAGCACTAGTGGCTATGGGAATTTTTTTGCACTGTTGCACCCTTAGGGAAACTATTCAACAGTACTTGCGCTGTTATGTACAAACATAGTCTTATCATGAACAAATAGATAAATAAGGTGATCAGACATTACACTATACTATCGCATGCTCTGAAAGATAAACACAGTCCCCTGAGCAGCATATCTTTGAACAGTATACAGTTACCACAATCTGTTTATTCAGAACCCTTTCTACAGGCAAATTACTGGAAAACCGATTGCATTTTCTTTTGTAGTCAACATAACTTCCGACTAAGAAATAATCTGTACTTTTGAAAAAAGGAAAACAAGCACAAAACAACAGTTTGAACATACTGTAGCGCGGCCTTCTTCAGGTCCTTGTCCAAATTGTCGCCAAACGCAAAACAAACAGGACGTTACAAATTGAGCTTAGTTTCAGTAAAACTTACTGTCCTGAATCCTCCAATTTTAATATGATTTTGCATCAACTTTTTTCGGTTGCAAACTTTTTCTGGCAGCTGGAGTCACTCAACTGCACTTGTCAGAACACCTTCTACTGCAAAAACTGACTTATTACAAATTCTAACACTGTATTTATATAGGATGAGTAAAAAAAAATGGGAACCCAAACCCCCCAAAATATATTTCATATTTAAAAAAATATTTAGCACCACAAATAATAAAGACGTGAAAGCCAATTCCAGAAACTACTTTAGATGTAAAAAATACCGAAATTGCTCAATCCGTTCAAAGAATATCACCATTTAAACGCAATGACACTAAAGCCTGTTTCGTCCAAAAAAAACCCAAAAAACAATTAATTGTGTATTCTGACTGTTTGAAGAAAATGACACATAATACTTGTTTCAACAACCTTCAACAACTGTAGTACACAATATCTTTATTAACCAAAAATCTACTTTTTTTTTAAAAGATGGGCCTACAAAAGGAAATTGTTGAATATCTTTAATTTTAACTGAGGTTTTATTGCTGGTGATGTTTGAAGACAATTGTGACGACGATTCTTGAAATCGCATGTTTGGACTAAAGAGGTTTTAGGGTAATTGTGTTTACATGGTGATAAACTTTGACCGGATTGAGCAACTTTAGTAACTTTTTCATTTAAAAGTAGTTTATGAAATTGGCTTTCCAGTCATTATTATATTTGGTGCTACATATTTTTTTTTGAGGTTTGGGTTCCGCTTTTTTTGACTCACCCTGTATACTGACACAACAAAAACCTAGCTCACCGCCAATTATCTGGCATGTGCTCCAATCCCATCCTTTCCACGCATTTTCTAAAAAGTGGCCTTTTTAGAGGGGGGGGGGGGGGAAGAGAGGTGCTTGGTGTTCAACCAGCTGGGCCCCAACACTGCTTCTAGGGCTTTCGTTACAATACTTATGCTATTTTGAATTTCAATTTATTTAACGTTCATCAGTAAAATTACTTTTTAAAATTTTGTTTGCAGAAATCTATCTATGCAAAGGCAGACGACTCAAATGCAAAACTGTAATGTCATGGCATCTTTGGCCATGTCAAGCACTATACATCTACATTTTTTTTACAACCGTTTCTGCTTCTGCTGAATATGCAAGCACCACCAGATGGTGGTTATAACGCATAGGTCAGTGTGGCGGAGGTGATTAAATTTTGTAATGAGCTTTTTTGACCAGCTCATCCATATTTATTTGTCCAGTTTCTCCTTGAATGATTTGATGTCAGGTTGAGCTCTAACGTCTGGTGGGAGGATGTTCCATCCACGAGTTGTCCGGGGGTAGAATGAGTACTGGTAACAGTTTTTGTTGAATGGTGGGGTTTCTAAGATGTGAGGCCCGGTTTGCAGTCTGGTGGATTTTATGATGCTCTGGCGACAGTTGACATTTGATGGAGTGATATTATGGACTTCCTTAAAGATGTAAATTAAGCGAAGTTTAGTGCGGCGTCTTTCGAGAGGTTCCCATCGGCGGTTTGCCAGCATATGTTTGTTACACTTGAGTTCCTGCTGTAGTCATTTTGAACAAAGCGAGCAGCTCGGCGTTGGATTTTCTCAAGAGATGCCTTGGTGTTGTTGTGATGAGGATCCCATATTGATGCACAGTACTCAAACGTCGGTCTGATGAGGGTTTCGTAGGCTAAACCGTTAACCCACATAGTTGCAACTGCCAAAGACTTGTGATTCATTATTGGCCTGATGGAGGCCCATATTGCTAGAGGTGGGCCAATTGAAAGTGTTGTGGAGCTAAGCATAAATCAGCTTAGAAACTATAGTCTCACGGTTTTAATACCATGCATGTCACTTTTGGCTGTTACTGTTATTGCTATTAAGCAAATATTGACCATGGTTAGCCGTTTCTGTGTCTGACCATGCCATGAAATTGGCCCCTGGGCTGATTCATGCATCATGCATAACGGTGGCTAATATTTCCACAAACTGTATTGTTATTCCTATCCAGGTGCTACATCTAGTGATGGGTTTGCAGCTGTTAAATTCACTGCCCTGGGCAGACCACAGATGCTGGTAAATATTACCTTTCCCTTTCATGAAGTAGAACCTGGGGGGGGGGGGGCAGACCTGTGGGTCAGAGTCGTAGGTCAGAGCTCTGTAAATAACTAAAAAATACTTTGGGAGGCTAAGGCCAAAAAAAAAATAAGTCGGTCTCTGGTCAGCGCGCGCGCGATTTTAATCATGCGCGTCAATCTTTTTTTTTCCAAATTTTTTTTTACCAAAGAGCACCAAGGAATGGGAAATTGCACCAAGGCAAATGATCGAAAGCACCAGGGCAAATTATGGAGGACACCAATGTACATGAGGACACCAAAAAAGCAAAATAGTACCCACCTTGTCTGTACAATCCAAGCTTGAAGAAAAAAGAAAGAAAAGCCAAAAAAAAAAAAAAGCCGCATGGCCGCGTCAATTCCGGAACTTTGGTCTGACCAGAGACCGAATATTTTTTTTTTTGGCCTAAGGCCAAAAAAACCCCAAATCTCCGGTTTCTGGTATGGAGCTTGCCCCAAAAGAAGTGCGGCAACACAGGTTTTTGGTTTTACCCTACTTTTTTTTCTCTTCATATGTCGGCTTATGTTGCAGATGACGCTTCGATCCCCTTAAAACTCTCAAATATCCTTCAGAGTGCAGCTTGAGGTGACCTCAGTAAGGCCATAAGGCTTGAAAAGTATATTGAGCTAATTAAAAAGCGTTTACAGAACCATTCCAGATACAGAACCATCGCTCCGTCATCTGGCTTCCAGATACACAATTACAAAATTACAACACCGTCCGCAAATGGTGCCCGACTAAATTTAGTGCAAAATATAATTATGGGAGCCCAGAGACGCCACATAAAGCTTATACTCGATCGTAATCCCATCTAAAAATACATTTAAATTGTGCAGCAGCAGGACTCCAGTCAAATCAGTGAGTTCGGCGGTTTTGAGACATCATCTTACATTAAAAAAAAAACTTGGCTACAGTGACGCGCGCGCATACCGGAAACGGGAGACTTTCTTTTTTGGCCTAATCATCCTTTCTTGCAGCTGTGAAGCTGAAATGCAAAGGATGCAGCTACAACATGGTCGAGCCGTAGGCATGTCAAGGCACCTTTGGCAGCCAGTCACATTGACCAATAAGGCCAAATAAAAACAAACAAACATGTTTAGCATCCCTGCCCGCTTCCTTTTTGGAGGCTGCCTCTTTTTTTCTTTTTTTTTAAACGAAAAAAGGATAAATTTTTAACAGTGACATCATTTCGGCCTTTGGTGTGTTGCATCTAGCCCATATAAATCTGGTATGTCATTTCCTGAGTCCAAGTGTCGGCCATTTAAAAAAAAAAGAACTGGCGGCTATCTTGAAAAATAGCCCGGCCGGTCCTTTTGGAGAAAAAAAAAAGGGAATCCTTCTTTTTTTTTTCAAATAGGCAGGAGGCTAAACATGTTTTTTTATATGGCCTAATGACCATAGACCACAGCCTGAGATCAAAAGTGTTTGATGTTTGTAATTGTATATTTACTCTCCAAGTGTTACGTAATAGCGAGCGAGGTCACTGGACTTATCCTTTCTCAAAGTGGATTATATTCACTGAGCTGAAAGTTCAACAAGTTAGTTCTTATGCACCCTTCTTAAGAATTTTGAGCAAATGTACTCGTGAACATTGAAGGTCTGTGAGAGATTTTGACTCATTGTGAGATTTAGACCGGGCGAGTTATTTGGTTGATTTTTGTCTCTTAAAAAAATTATCAAAATTAAAAAGCTTAAAATTCTTGCCTTAAACACTTTAATTTTTATAAAGTTAATTTTAATTCTTTCCTTTCCTTATTTCCAGCTGAATTTGTCTGAGGTCCTCGTCCGCACCCGCCATGTTTTCGTCCAGATGGCCCACGCAAACAGCGCCCTCATTGACCTACAACTCACCAAGGAACAGTTCCAGTCGGAGCTGGAGGCGTTGGGGCTCACGTCGCGGGACGATACGAATGAATGGTTTACTTGGATGGACTTTGACAAGGATGGGTCAGTATACAAATATTGAGTGGCTCAGCGTGGAATGGGAGGAATATTATCGCAAGGTAAAATCTGGACTTTTCCATTTCACGAGGCGAAGCCGAGTGAACTGGAAAAGTCCAGATTTTACCGAGCGATAATATTCCTCCCATTTCACAATTTAAAGCCACTCAATATTTGTTTTATATAACTGACATATAGATCCTTGTCATTTGATATATTTGAACTTTTATTTCAATACAAAACTGGAGGAAAATGTATTTCTCTATTCCAAACCACCCCTTCACGAAAATGTTTGAACCCAGCATGCATTTGCAGACAGATACCGCGTCATGAAACAAAAATGATCCTAACTGTTCAATAGTATTTCCCATTCCCCATGGGCGGATAGTACTTTTTGAGCCGCGGCGTGAATGGGAGCAATAACGAATGTGACGTGATGTGAGTTCCACCAATCAAAATAATAGTTGTTATTGCTGTTGGTGTAGCCCAGTAGTTTGCGACGGATCACAAGGACATCACATGTTATCCAGTCTCAGTCAACTCACAAGCTATTCGAACGAGTTGTGTCAAAGGCATTCCTTTGTTATTGTTTCTCCCCTAGACTTAATAATAAAAAGAATAGAGGGTATATATAAAGCGCACGTATCCACCAGGACTGGTGCTCAAGGCGCTACATCATTCTTACCACTGCTCATTGGTCCCATGAAACATTCCTGACACCATCTCAGCTCCCTTGGGAGTACAGCTCGATGCAGCCATTTCGGCGCAAAGCAGCTAAATCAATCACACTAACCATCTCTGCCCTCACATGTACCCGTTTACTCCTGGGTGGAGAGAAGAAATGTGTGACAAAGTGCCTTGCCCAAGGACACACGCACCATGACCCCGGCTGGACTCGAACCCACAACCTGCAGCTTTACCTGCAGACCACGAATCCAATGCCCTTAACCACGAGGCCACATTACTCCACTTGGCCCAAGTCTGTGCCTGTACTTGCATAGCGCATACATACATGTACACGTCCGTACAGTACTGTGAGCTGCATGCGCTAAGCACTGCTGCATGCACGGTCAAGATATGAGCTGTGTGTAGCGTGTGCCCTCATGAGTCAAATCCAGACCAACATGTTAAAAACGTGCATCGGCCTGCATATTATTTATCTGAAGACACTATATTTCAAATAGACATTATTCAGTGCAAGTCAAAAACAACTAAACACTTTTACAATTGCCCATTGTTTTAGTGTGTAGCAATATAGATAAGATGTACTTTTAGAGTAACTCTTCCTGCTTCTTTTGGTGCCTGTTTTACTTGCTTAGTTTTCGTGCATGACGGCACAGGAGACAATGAAGGGGGTCAGGTGAAGTCTGACTTGCACCAACTGGTCAGGGCTGGATAAGAAAGAGATAATTAAAAAGAACACTGCCTTGGTCATGGATTGCAAAATCAATACGCCATTTGGGAGTTAAATTTGAATAAAATCTGGAACGCTGTCTTAATCCAATGCTTTGCATGTTTTAACTTAGCATTCTCCCGACCAAAGAGGCTGTTACTATATCACATGATTCGGGGCAAGCCTTATGCTAGCAACCGCCAGCTCCGGCATGGTCTGGTGTCTTTGTGTCAGCCTCACCCATTGTGAACAATGTATTGATGCTGAGGGTCTCTTACGTAACTATGCAAGAGCTTGCCCCCAATCATGTGATTAGCAACAGTGTCTTTGGTCTTGAGAATTCAAAGTTAAAATGTGCCAAGCATACTGAGCAAGTCAGTGTACCAGATGTTCTTCAAATTTGAATCCCGAAGGGTATAGGTCAATCGCAACAGGCTTATTCAGATCTGTGGATCTTGCTTTTAATCCATTTCTTCATCTGATCTGATTTCAGTCGTATTGACCTCCTGGACTGGGACAGACTCATGGAACCTGAGATCAAACTCACCAAAATCTTCAAAGTTCCACAAATCCAGGTCATTGGAAACTTGCCTAGTTAAATGGGATCACAGTATATTACTCCAAATTGCTTCCGTTGTTCTTTTCAAGTCTCTCATGTTTTGCTTCATTTTTTCGTTAAAATTTAATTCAATACAATTTCATATTTATAAAAGTATTTTTCATAAATACCAAGACAGTTTATCAGTTAGTATTGGTCGAGAGCCCGTCACATGGGTGGTTTTATACTGTTGATAAAACACTGACCGGTTTTAAACACTGAATTTGTGCACCGCTGAGTTCTGCGCCACATGACGCAGTACGCGCCGCACATGCACCAATCTCCATAAAAGGAGATTTTTTTAGCACTTCACGTGCGAGGCACATATCATAGACATGGACAGAGGGGTGTTTCACAAATGAAGTAAAAATTGTTGAACAAAATCATTGGAAACTTGTGAATTTTTGACTTGTTTTGGCTTTTTTGACCAAAAACTAATTTTAAATGTGAATGAATATGTGCTTGGCTAGTATTAAACAAGTACATTTAAAACTGGGCTGGGCCTGGTTGCTGATAATGGCCCTCGCCTTTGGCTCAGCTCAGGCCATTATCAGCGGCCTTCTGTTGATTTCACGAAACCTTATGCAACAATTTATTGCGTAAGTTGCGCAACATTTCACGCTGCGCAACATTTCACTTATGACACATTTCACGAAAGTCAGAGCTATAGATTAAGGCCTAACTTGCGCAATCATTTTAGGTGGCGTCAGTTGTGGCGTAGCAACTAAACATGACGTATTTTACCAGCAAATCGGCACTGTCATAGAGCCCGTTATTGCACAAATTAACAAGGTTGATACAAGACACTCACAACTTTATGTTTGAAGTAAATGAATTCTATTTTACCCGTAACATAATTTTTAGAGTTGCCGAACGATTTCGAAGAAAGTCCGACAAAATAATTTTCAAAATGGCGGGCTGAGGTGATCCAATGACTGTTTCGCTTTAAGAACAAATTCACACACAAACAGCCATCGTAAATGCTGCTTTTATCCTCGTCCAAGATGTTTAAATTATTTAAAACCTTGCGCAACTACGCCAAGTTTCATGAAATCGATCGTAAGTTTATTGCGCAGCAAATTTGTTGCGTAAGTCTTACGCATGGCGCAAGCTACGCACTTTTTCGTAAAATCGGCTGCAGGCCCCTAGTCATTTCTGCTCGGGCAACTATCAGCATCCAAGCCCCTAGATGGTTATAAAATGCACCTGTTTAATACTGGCCAAGCACATAGTTTATTCTTATATGAAAGAGTGGTTGCTTGTTTAAGTTTTTGATACTTGGTGTGCTGCTTCTCACGTGAGATGCACGTGCCACAGAAACACCCACACTTTTCCCAAGCAGGGCACGTCTTTCCGCACTCACAATAATTTCCAGTTGTCAGCTGTGTGGTGTAATGATATAACTTGATGTCCTTTGTGCACAGCGAGGGCATCTTGAGCCGCTGCAGTTGAGCCTCACGGAGGAGGAAGAGAGTCAGATGAAGAGGATGCTGTCTCGCATCAATACACTGGCCAAGGTATGATCGGTGTGGTAGGCGAAGTAATTGGGAAGGATCACAAGTCCGTCAAAAGCTAGCTGGTCTCAAGTCAATTCACAAGCTGGTCAAATGCACTGATTCAAAGACATTCCGTAGTTGGGTCATTCCACAGGGTTGGGAAGCAGTGCATGTTACATCCATATATTTGGTTATATTATTAAAAGTATCAATGCATTCTAAACAATTGCTCAACATCATATTTGTCTTAGGGTGTTTCAATACTTGAGAAAGTTTGAAATCATTTGAATGTACTTTGACAAAATATGAGCAAAAATGTATTAATTCGGACGTAACATTGACACCATGTCAATGTTACATCCAAATATTCTTTTTTTGCAATTTTTTACACGTATGTCAAATATTACCCAAACTGACATTGCATATTTACAACTGGACACCTAAGCACCAAGAAAAGCTTTTGTTTTGGTATAGTCAGGGTTCAAATATAGCAGAAACAATACCTCAAGTGTGGATGGTGTCAAAATCACTCAATGAAAGTGTGACATTTGGGGTTGACACTGTGTCAATGTTACGTCCACAACCAAGCTATCATTTCTGCTCCATTTGATACCTGATTACCATAACAAAAGCTTTTCTTATTGTGTTGCATGTATAGTAAGAAAAACATAAAGTGATTTTGGGTAATGTTTCACAGAAATTTTAAAAAAGGTACAAATGTCATATTTGGACTTAACATTGACACGGTGTAAATGTTACGTCCGAAATGACATGTTTTGCTCATATTTTTGGCAAAATACATTCAAATGATTTAAAACTTTCTGCAGTGGTCAAACACCCAACAACAAATATTATGTAGAGCAACTGCTAGCAAGGCATTCATGCTTTTCTTCTTATGGTCATATGTCACACATTGTTCTCCAACTAGGTGGAATGACCCAGTTAGTTTTCATCTATTGGTATAAGTGATTGGACCACTGATCTCTATATAAAGACTGAATAGTGGATGCCCATACACCAGTCACACAGTTCAATTTGCATTTTGATTAGTTCACCCCTGATCTTCCAAAAAAGGACGCCGATATACGAACGTTGTATGCGTACATGCATTTACGATCTTCCATGGCCACATTTGTTTAGTCGACCATTTTTGCCTTACGCTGATTGGCTACATAATGAAATAAGATGATCCGGATGCGCACACAACGTCGTAACTTCACACAGGTCGACTGCTACATGTAAATTCCCGACAGTCGGAAACACGTTCCATCGTGGCGCATTTTTCTACTCTTGCAACTGTTGCTATATTTTTTAGCGTCAACTGATGCGGATCATCTTAATATCGTTCAGAGATGCCACTTTTCAGGTTTGAACCGAATTCAGGGTTTTTTTTAAAAATGTGACAAATTGAAAGTGCTAGATTTGGTCTGAAACATCCAGAAAACACATTTTTGAAAGGGGGTAAGGGTAGTTTCAGGTTTTTTAGTAGTGTTGCAGGCTTTTTATTGATATATTGGTGGCATCTCTGATCGTAGCAGTTACACTCGGGTCACACAAAAATTGGCGCTTGATATATGTTCTCGACGGTCGTAGCTCATGGGCAGCTTGATCCTGAAAGTTAGTCACCGACCGTCGTGTCGTCGCAAGGTCCACCCGAGAGCAGCCTATAGTTTCATGTCTTGGGGAAAATATGATTAATTTTAATTTTGTATGTTAATATAAACGGTTTTTTCCAAAAGTTTTTGTACTCTTTGAGTGGCCCATTAGAAATACCCACTGTTCCCATTGGAAACGCTGGGGAATACTAGAATTTCCCAAAAGAGTTTTGTTCTCCATTGTATGTGTGCATTCACTTGTTAACGATCTAGCAGCATAGCTTGCCATTGGGATTTTTGCCGACCCAAAGGGCCAGCCTTCAGGGCCCAGTTTCATGGCTCTGCTTACCGTGAGCAGAAAATCCCTGCTTAGTGTAGCAGAAAATTCTGTGGTTTCGGTAACAGAGATGAAACTTTTCCGATTTTAATCGGAAAACCGACTTTTTGAATTTTCCAACGAAATTTCCGATTTTTTTACAGTGTGTCCCACAAAATTTGATTTTGTAAGGATTTTTCTCACAAAATGTTATTTTATTTCAATCATAATTTCGAAGAAAAGTTGATGAAAAGTCGATGGAAATGGCACGTTAAAATCATCGCGAACGTAGTTTTAATCTCTTTCACCAGTCGTTATTGGAGTGTTTCAACGGTAGAAACACGGGGCATAACACTGATCGGACCTTCTCCGGCTGGACAAAAGGTTAAAACATTGACAGGCGACATGAAAAAATCACTGTGTCGCACGTGCGTGCGAATATGCAATGGTACCAGCGTAGCGTACCGTACCACTGCACCGTACACCGCGCCGTCCGCTAGCACATGGCCGGTCGGAACGGGTAGCCTTGTGAACGATCTAGTGGATAAAATCATTATGTTGTGCGATTTTCGGAGGTTTCAAATTTAGTTATACTAAATGCAATGCTTTAGAAATCGTGATGATTATCTCGAGGATAGCGAAGAGAGCATTAGCGAAACATTTCACTGGCATTTGTTGGAAGAGAAAGACGATAATACCTGATTTTCCCCACATATGAATGCAAGTGGAGTAGTGGAGTTGTGTGGTTGAATGGACATGATCAGATGATTGAAGCACCATGAACGGTGCCCTTGTCTTTCGGACTTTTCCCTAGACTTTCTCAAGTAAGAAGTGAACTTCTTTATTGATGACTCCATTACTCTAACAGTAATTCGGGCATTTTATGCAATGAAAACACTGACCATTGTTTTCATTGTTAAATTGTGTTTGAATCGAAAATAAAGCAGGAGTAGTTGTCTGGAAATTGGGCATGAAGTGAATTGTACATGCATGTACATGTGTGTAATGCAGCGCGGCCCAGATTTCAGACACATATTTTTCTTCGGCATATTTTCCGATTTTTTTGCCATATGCCAGTTTCATCTCTGCGGTAAGTGTATTTCACGGGTTAACGAGGAATTTTGGCTTCTGCCTGTGCGTACATCACGTAACTAAGGATTCTGTGCTCATAGGGTTAGAACAGATTTTTTTTCAGCTAGCGCGGTTAGCACAGAATGGTGTTCGTAAGCACGGAATGCTGTGGTTAGTAGAGCCATGAAATTAGGCCCTGTCTCTGACTGACATTCTGACTGAGTACAAAAAATACCCTTTCATGTCCAGCCTGACTGGGCCAGCCTACTCTTGTTGTAGACTTTGACTGTCGCCCCTGATTTGTCTAATTCCTCAGAGGGCGAGGGACAAAGGCGTAAGGTTGATGATCGACGCCGAGCAAAGCTACTTCCAGCCGGCAATCAACAGACTCGCCATGGAACTCATGCGCAAGTTCAACAAGGAGCGGCCCATCATATTCAACACGTACCAGTGCTACCTTAAGGTAGGCGTGACAATGAACCCTTATTGTCTGTCAATCAAGCGTTGTTGGTCAACTGAGTAGCTGGTCAAACTTGGTCACAGGCACTACTAGAAATATACATAAACCAGAGGCAATCGCGGGTTTTGGCCAAATCTGGATTGATCCCATAGTCTGAACTAGGCCTCAGTATTTCCCACTGGGAAAGTCTTGAGAGTGACGTAACTAGAAGGGGGGAGGGGTAAAGGCCCTTTCACCGCTCCTGTCACCGCTTTCGCGTACTTGGAATTGGGGCAAAGTCAAAAATGAGCTCCTTGTCATTTAAAACCCATTGAGGCCCCTTCCGGAAAATGAGCACCCCCCCCATCCCACTGGGATAGTCTTGAGAGTGACGTAACTAGAAGGGGGGAGGGGTAAAGGCCCTTTCACCGCTCCTGTCACCGCTTTTGCGTACTTGGAATTGGGGCAAAGTCAAAAATGAGCTCCTTGTCATTTAAAACCCATTGAGGCCCCTTCCGGAAAATGAGCACCCCCCCCATCCCACTGGGATAGTCTTGAGAGTGACGTAACTAGAAGGGGGGAGGGGTAAAGGCCCTTTCACTGCTCCTGTCACCGCTTTTGCGTACTTGGAATTGGGGCAAAGTCAAAAATGAGCTCCTTGTCGTTTACAACCCATTGAGGCCCCTTCCGAAAATGAGCTTCAACCCCCCCCCCCAAGCTGTTTCAAAATTCGATCAAAGTTACGCCAATAGAGTATGACAGCCAGCATGTTATTGTTCTTAGTGGCGATATAGCAGCCCCCCCCCCCCCCCCTCTACTGCCACAGGCAACATGACCAAACTTGCCAGGGATTGTGACCGGCTGCATTAGCAGAAGAAAATGCAAATCCAGGCTTGGACCAAGAGTAACACTGCAGCAGCAATGGCGATCTACAGCAGCAATGGCAAAAGAAATGCAACAAAATAGGATGTTACACATGTAACATCCTATTACATGGTGCCCGGATGTGCTGTATTCTCGTAAAATCTCAAAAAAATTTTAGGTAAACTTACACGCTCTATTGTCCACCTACCTTCAAGCAAATGCTACCCACCTTACTTAGTGCAGGGACAGGGTTGTATGCAAGCCTTAACTTTGAGACTTGGGCAACTCTCCTTTCATCTCCAACAGCAAACCTTCAACAACCTGAACATAGACATCGAACTCGCCCACCGAGAAGGTTTCCATTTCGGCGCTAAGCTCGTCCGCGGTGCATACATGGACCAGGAACGCAAGCGTGCGAAGGAAATCGGTTACGAGGATCCCATCAACCCAGACTATGAAGCCACCAGCGCTATGTACCACCGATGTCTGGACTTTGTGCTTCAGACGATTCAGAGCCGGGGGAAGGTGAACATCATGGTGGCATCGCACAACGAGAAGACCATCCGCTTTGCTGTTGAAAGGTGAGCTTTTTAACCCTTTTATCCTGTACTACACTGTAGGCCTGGGGGAGTAGTGGATTTTTCTACTCAAGAAATCACAAAGAAATTACGCGTGAGTAGTCGAGTATTCGTGAGTATTTAACTGAATTCCCACAAAAGTAGACAAATTACGTACGTGAGTAAGACGTGAAGTAACTTACAAGCAAATAATGTGCAAGTCACACCACATTCTCAGCACTGAGATATCCTTACTGTGCTACATTTTGGGTCATTTAGTTGAATTTTTGTTTTGGACGAATGGAATCCTAGGGAGAGAGAGGTGGAGGGAGTGATTCCCTGTTTGCAGGGGACGTATTAAGCCATGAACCCTAAATTGCTACCTAGAAGTACCTGCTTCTAGACGAGTACTCGAGTAGACAAAATACCACGAGTAGAACAATGAGTAGCATAAACTACTCGCGAGTACTTGAGTAATCGAGTTACTCGCCCACCGGTACTACACTGTATTACATTGTATTTAATCAATGATTAACCACTGCAACCACTTAGTGCTGGGGTTGTTTATTGCGATGCGGCGAGTACAGGCAGGACAGGTTTAGGCGGCACAAGGACTAATACGGGTGTGCATCCGAACCGGGTAGTCAAGTACCTGACCGCAGATGTCAGGAACCGGTTCCAGATTATGAAATCGAGTGCCTGTAACCAACTTTACATATTACTTAGTAACTTCTCACACCAAGAACAAGAAAGGTCTCCAATGTCATTTGTGGAGAATTTTCAAAATGAAAACTAGGCTAAAACAAACAGATTTATGTTGTGATGCAGGCCTAGTGAGCTCACTGTACACTTTTGTATCTTGCTGTATCTTGCTGTATCGACGCATTGATGTGGAAGTGTTATCATGCGGACCTTTATGGACAATCTGTACAGCAACTTCTGAGATTCAAATTTTGAGGTTGTTTCCATAACGGGTACCCGGGCACCCATTTTTTTTTCAGTCAGGTACCCGATTCCCGTACTACCCGTAAGTTCTTGGTTCTTGGTTGGTTCTTCGATCTCCTAAATACTCCACGTGGGAGTTTATACAGGAGGCCATGAACACTGGGGCAAACCCCTTCTCTTAGCGATAAGTGTTTACTGGGTTCTTTTACGTGCATTTATGCAACACATGGGACCTACGGCTTAACGAAGCAATAATGGTTAAGTGCCTTGCTTAAGAGCACAAGTGTCTGCCGGCAGGCTCGAACCCACGTCACTGTTGCCTCTGAAACACCAGAACATGAGTCCGGTGCTAGGCCATGACACTCCATGTGTAAGTGCCCACCCCTTGGGACTAATGTTTTACTATAAACTTGTTACAAAGTTTGAAGAATTTTTTCCCCATTTCCCCCACAGAATGGAGGAATTGAACATCAAGCCTGAGGATCGTCTGGTCTACTTTGGCCAGCTGCTGGGCATGTGTGACCAAGTCTCCTTCCCACTGGGTAAACTCTGTCTGTCCACATTGTGTGTTTGTCATTCAACAGTATATTGTAGGCAAAGCCATCACAGGTCCGGTCAAAAGTCAGTCACTTTCACAAGACCAGTCTCAAGTAACTGGGGCTGAAAAAAAACACCAAAGGAAAACTTTTGTCACAGTTCATTTGAGTAGCTTGAGGCTTAACTTGAGACTAAAGGACTTGCAGAGATGCCAACCATTACTCTTTTGGAGTAATTATTAGGATTTTGAGGCATGTTACTACCCTTGAAAATTCCAGCTGTCCTATACGCCAACATTGTGGTTACTCTGACAAGTACTGTGGTTACTCTTAAACTTGACTGTTGTCCTATGTATTTACATTAGCATTACTCTTTGCAGGAAGAATCATTACTATTTTGTAGTCTGTAAAGTTGGCATCTCTGGACTTGTTATGGACTAGACTACAACACTGCTCCTCGGTTGTTCAGATTTTGGAAGGTCCAACTTACCCCCCAAATCTTCATCGCAGTTGTTCCTGATAATCAGCTTTATGGCAGACCAAGCAGCATATTATTAAAGACAAACCAAGCAAGCTTGTGAAGTTTTCTTCGCAAGCTCCAGGACAACATTAAATATGGACTGGCTGTACAGGAGGAAAATGATCAGATTGCTACTGTACTTCCAGCACTCACCCTAAGATGACCATTGCCCTTGATTATTTGTATCCTCTTGGGAACAGGCAGTTAGAAACATTCTATTTCCCACTTTATTTTGTTACCGTTAATTACGGTTCTTTGGGTACCTGACCTTTCCAGGAATAGGTACCCAGTTCCAAAATCACCTGTAAAAAACATCTACACAGTCTCTATTATTTTACGAGCATGAGAATGTTCCTTTTTCAACTGGAATTCCTGGGTTTTTTTCTTTCAAGTGTTGTGGTCTTTTGAATTTAATTTAAATGTGAATTAAAACTTGGGGGTTGAGGACTGTCAGGGGGTCGAGAAAAATTGTCTGAATCGGCAGAAGGAGCTTTAGGAATAGTTAAGAAATGCTCGTCAAAATGCGAATTTTTGAATGAGTTGACTCCTTCAACCTGTACTTTCATAACTTTCGACATCTGGCAAGACTTGCATGCTCTTTTGGAGGGCTTCTTGAAAAAAAAAAAGTGTGTACAATGTAAATGTCAATGTAAATTGGGACCACCGTAAAACAGGTAGACGGCAGTGCTTCTAATGAAAAAGGAACATCCGAAAATATTAGGTGTTCTGCTTCGTCCAATCCAGAATAAGATTCCTGTCTTTTTAAGACCCATTCTCATGCCTGTTTTTATCAGCATTGTACTGTATTATTAAGTAATTACAATCGAGTCTCGTTAATACAAACTCGTTCTGACCTAACCAAATTGTTTGTTATATCAGAATTTTGTATTAAGAGGAACATCAGTCCCATTCATTGTGCACATAAATGCACAGTCGGGACTAAGGCTTTATGTTTGTTATAACCAGAATTTTGTATTAACAGAGTTTGTACTAACGAGATTCGACTGTACTGAATGTGGTTTCTCACAGGACAAGGAGGGTATGCCGTCTACAAGTACGTCCCCTACGGCCCAGTGGAAGACGTCCTACCATACCTCTCCCGCCGAGCTCTGGAGAACCGAGGCATGCTGAAGGGCGTCAAGAAGGAACGCCGACTCCTGTGGCAGGAGCTGACACGCAGGATTCGGCACGGTCAGGTGCTGTATAGCCCAACACATGCTTGATGTGTTACGGATATAACCCTTTCAAGTAAATGATGTTTAAAGGGAATATACAACATTTGCAAACATCGAAAAATAAAACTACCAAGTTTTTACGAAATACCTTACTAGGATGTTGGTAAATGACAGTCTAAAGCATCCTGTAAAAATTATGGCACCTGGTGTGAAGTCATTTTCAAGAAAATTGTATTTTTGTATACATTTCCAACGGTGGTCGGCCGACCACCGTTGGAAAAACCTAACTATTTTTCAACTTCTGCTCCAACTTTACACTTTTTTCAGTCCAAATGTTGTTTGCTATTGGTTACATGTTCATGAACGGATGCAGGCCAGCTAGACTGGTTCCCTTACCTTACAATTTTCTGGCATTTATAAATTGATCCATTTTATCTTTAGTGGAGTCAAGGAGCCAGACTACTTGAACATTTTTGTTTTTCTTAGTTTTTCCAGCATTTTCGAACACAAAACTTCAAACATGTCAGTGTAACAATATTTGATCTATTATACTCACCCCTCAAATAGTTCCGATTTCTGAAAATTACAGCAAAAGCCAATGATGTATATTCCCTTTTTAACTGACAATTTTCAGCTTAAAACATTTTTTCAAGGAGCCTTTCTGAATCCTCCAAAATTAGCTACCATCCTAGCATCTGCAGCATTGAATTAAGCATAATTTCATTTCTTAGATTTCACGGGGGGGGGGGGGGGGGGGGGGGGGGGGGGGGGGGGGGGGGGGGGGGGGGGAATTGGGGCGTCACGTCCCGTGTACTAGTTGATTAGCTTCACATCGACTGTCCTCAGTGCAGCAAATTCCTCTAAAACCCCTTGATGGAATGTGGAGGAACTTGGAGCCACTTTTGTCTGTAAATGCTTTTAGAAAAACAAATGAAAATGCTTTAAAAAACTCAGTGAAATCTACAGTTCACTATTTTTGATATCTGGCGATCAGTAAGGAAAGGCTGGTGTATACAAATACACCAGCGGGGCATAGCGAGAATGATTTGCATAGGGTGTTTGAAAGGGGGGGGGTTGGACACTATCTGACTATTGGAGGGTATTGTTCAAAGCGGATGATGTTGGATACTATCGGATAATAGGTGGTGATTTTCGTCGCGGTTTATCAGACCCGCAATTTTGGTGGTTCTTTTGCCAACAGACTCTAAAATGCCAACTGAGAGAAATAATTCCCCCCCCCCCCACTCTCAATTTCCTACGTCCCTGATATACATTTGTTAGATTGATGGCGAACGTCATCACAATCAGTTGTTGGCGTTATGAAATTCACTTCAATATTGCTTTCGCGTTAAGTATCAACCAACCTTACTTTTTTTTTCAAGATGAGTTTAGCGAAAGAATGGTGTGTGTGAACAGCAAAATCAATATTGAATTTTCTTTAAAGATGTATACTGTACCTCTATTAACTCTGCATGCCAAAGTTTTTTAAACAATATTCTATATTAGCGATTTTTCCTTGAAGTGGTTACTTCATGTTTGCAATACTCTTTCTAACTATATTTATTGCGTGGTATTGTAAAGTGTGTCTTTCCTTGTTAACGTATGAAAACAAATCAGATGTACATTTATGATGTGAAGTATTTTAAGAGAATCAGGGTCATGAAGTACTACTTGAGGTATATTCTTTTATTCAATAGTGTCATATTAAGGCTTATTTTCATTTGACCAGCATTCATTTTATAATAGCAATAGCTACTCCGTTTCTTTCAGAGAAATTTAGAAAAAATATTAAGCTGTAGTTTCCAAATGTGACGTGAACATTATGTGGCCAAGGGGAACGAAACGATGTCCGGTAGAAGGAACCCACGGTGAGATACACTCTGGCCACCAGCTCCATATATACAGGGTGAGTAAAAAAAAAACCTCGAAACCCAAATGTTGGGACCTTTGTTTTAGGAAAGTTCTGCGTGTAGCATTTTAAAATCTAGGATATGAAAGCCCAATTCTTAAGCTTTTTTTTTAGGACAAGAATCATTCAAATCACTCATGTACTTTTCAAGTTACGGAATTTTAAACACAACCACCGTTTTTCAGGTTCTGTCAACGAATCGCAAAAAAAGGTGTGCATTCTTTCGACAAAACGAAATCAATTCAAACACATCCCTATGTGATTTGTTTTTGTTTTGCTGAAAGAACACTGAACTTTGTTGTGATCCGTGGACAGAACCTTAAAACGGTGGTTGTGTTTAAAATTCCGTAACTTGAAAAGTACTTAAGTGATTTGAATGATTCTTGTACTGAAAGGAAGCTTATGAATTGAGCTTTCATATCCTAGATGTTGAAAGTGCTAAATGCAGAACTTCAATAAGACAATAGTCCCGATATTTGGGTTTCGGTTTTTTTTTACTCTCCCTGTATATGAGAACATCTGGCTTGTGGAAGGCCTCACGTTGGAGTACAGGGTGCATTGCTACGTACTTAAAAATGCTCAGGTGTTTAAAGCCACTTTGTGTGTATTGCCTGATACTGATTCTAATAATTTTTACACATAAGTTTGCTCCACGAAATTTAACCAGGTTGTATCAAAATTAGAAGTTGATTATTACTGTTTGAGCTACTCCCTTTGAATTTTTGATAGCGGTTGAAAATAATGACAAGGTATATATATATAAGTTCACCAAATATTTATATATTTTTTAGTAGATGTCCTTATAAACTTTCAATTCACCCATGTGTACTGTACAGTTTTGTCCTCAATGAAGTTGTCGTTGAATCAATTTATAAAAATGTATTGAGATTCTCATCACTGTCATCATGTTTAAACAAACACTTTGCATGCTTGATGTGCATTTGGTGAAAATCTAATTCGTGTGACATAATTATACCAGACAAATGATATACAGAGTTAATTTTCTTAGAGTTGTCGTTGATTTCAAGGTACCTAGCTGGCTACATGGCAGTTTTTAGGAGAGAACTGCAGTGTTACATGTTCCTTCAGTGTGTGTATTAATTAAAATGCATATGAATATATTAACAACAAATTAGTGTTTAACATAATTATTTGCGACCGGTATTAGACAATTGTATTTTTCTTGAGAGATATTGCTAGTAGCTGGTCGACTTTGTCGTATGCCAAATTTAGGAAAGGATTACTGTCATTAACGTTGTGAATGCCTTTTGGTGTGTACAACTGAGATGGGTATGAAGAATAAATGCAAGATTTTATCATTCACAAATAATATGAGTATTTGAAGACTGTTAAGCAATTTTTGTAAGGTATTCTGGTTGTTTCCTGTGCATGCCGATATATATTTTTGTACGCTGTAGAAACATTAAATTATTCATAAGATGAATTTTTCATCAGGGTAATGTATCACTGCATATTAGATTTTGCCATTCACGACGTATAAACCAGCCAACCGATCCTGCAAGCTCGCGATGGCCCAATAGTAAGATGTCTGCCCTAGAAAGCAGGAGGTCATAGGTTCGAGTCCCACCCGTGTGAGTTTTGCCTTAGTTCACTCTGGAGGTAATACACTGAGTATACAGTGTTTGTACATCGGTGAAGGGCAAAACTTGAATGATTAAATTGTTATTTGGGATAGTATGCATTTGCTTGAATTATGTGCTATACTATACATATATATATAATATTCACAAGTATGGCCAAAAAAATAAGTCTCCGGTTTCTGGTATAGAGCTTGCCCAAAAAGTGGTGCGGCGACGCGGCTTTTTTGTTTTATTTAACCTGGTTTTTTTTGCTTCAAAATGTCGGCTGATGACTGCAAATGGTGCCCGACTAAACTTCGTGCACATATATGGGAGTCCAGAGAGGCCACATAAAGATTATTCTCGACCATAACCCCATCTAAAAACACGTTAAAATTGTGCAGCATTCCAGTCAAACCAGTGAGTTTGGCGGTTTGAGACATCATCTTTCATTGAAATTTTGTTTTTTTTTTCATTTTGCCGACGCGCATGGCTACGGCGATGCGCGCGCATACCAGAAACCGGAGACTTTTTGGGGGGCCTTAGCGTAAGAATCATTCAAATCACTCATGTATGATCATGCACATGTGTACACACTTTAAACACAGCCAGCGGAAAAAAAGGGGAAAAGAACATGAAAGAAAATGAGGGGCAAATCGATGTCCACATAATATGACATACTGTTAATGTGGGTATCGATTTTTCCACGGTGATTTCTCCGTTCCGCTCGGGTGAATGTTTTGCCCCCTCTAAAAAAATCAATGTCACTATTTATGACTCTAATATAAACTAATTTTATTTAATCACAATCAATTGCATTTATTCGGCACACTGATGAATATATAAGTAGCATTTACACAATTCATTTGCAAATAAAACAAGTGTCTATTCCAGCCCTACTGTTCAGACCACTGTGCACAAAATGTTGTGACATGCAATAGTGAACGTTCATGAACAGTTGTGCCAATTTTGTTCAACATCAGTTTTGAACTGTTTTCAAGATCAAGCGTCTACTTTATAATAGTATCGGACCTAATTAGCATCTTATAAAGTACCAGTACAGTAAACTTGTAGAAAAGTATGATTATATCAACTGTGGATTATTCCTGATATATATTCCCTTTTAAGTAGGACAAAAACAACCTTTGTTATTCGGAGTGTATTTTAAATAAGATTTATTTATTCAGATCTGTCTTTCCCTTTGTACATGTTGTGCTGACACAATGTCATGATGGGTAATAATTAAATATTTATCATTTCATTGAAACATAATTACTTGTATTGTCATTGTCTTAAAGATGGGGTTGCCTAACGAATTAATATTTTTAAATATATTTATGCTTTTGTTTTAAAAATCATGTTTCATTGTACCGTGGAGATATAAAAATGGGTTTCATTTCTACATGATTGCACATGTTGTATGTGGACCATTGACACGTACATCTTTTGGCAAGGATGCACCCTTTTTTTAGTTTCTGTACAGCTTTTGCTTGTTCACGGTTGAACACCTTCCTTTAACCCTAAGGATCCCCAACCAGCCAAACTTCAACACCAGGGTTTGTTGGAATCTGTTAGGATGAGTACTGCACTAGTCAACTGTACGTGGGATAAGGCATACCACAAATAAATTGTTTATGTGCACAGTTTACCACATGGCGTTAGGATTTGCAAGGATGAGGAAGGTTCCTAGTAAATCACCCTTGGGAGTTAGGGTTAATCAGTTCTACAGTACACAGTTACATGCCAACGAACCATATTTTATGTACCTTTCTGAAATCACATTTAAAATTTATATTTGAATGAATTCAATGCATTTTTTTAAAATTTAATTTCGGGTTTTTTTGGCTTTTATTGAAGGGAAAGGTTAAGGGTCTGTAGACTGGATTGAGCTTGTATTTGTGTAAAGTTTGGATGGAATTGGGCCCTAAAATTGCACTATTTCCCAATGGAGTGGAGGGATCACGTTTTAAAAATGACAACGGACCTCAGTTGTTTTATAACTGATTTATCACCTAAAAAACTAACCAGAACAAGTGAAAGATTAATAAGCTTTAGTGTGATGTGTCTCGAGAAAACCTTGGAGCGTTCCAAGTATTTACCTGTCAGGGCATATTATTATTGGGGTGTATTAAGAGCATTGATTTTCTAGTCTGCACCGTTGGGCAGGAGGTGGGTAAATAATGTGTATCCCTCCCGTTCCCAATCCCGAATTGTACATACATGGACTTTTGTTCTGTATAGGAAGTCTGTAGTCTGTCATTAGCTTAAATATTAGCAAACACCAAAACGATGGCTACCTAGCTAGTCTAGTGTGGCTCCTCATTGCTGCTTCGCTTAAAAAGACGCAGCTAGAATCTTCGCCACATAGACACTAAAGTAGAAAGGAAACCATACTGAGTAATTTTTTAAAAATCTAAAACAGCAACATTAACTAGCAGGAGCGGGCTAGCTCTGCCTTCTGCACGTACAAATCGCGTCGGTGCACAGAGTATTCAGTCACAGCCTGTGTTTATAATGTAGTGACCAACGGATAACGTATCGCCAACCGATAACGTAATAATTTACCGATACCGTATCACTAACCGATGATGTAACAAAAATAGACTGATTATGCATGGATTTGACTACTACATAAATCGGTCAATTTTGTTTGTAACTTTAGCTGGATGCCGCACTTTGCATTCGCTTGTACCCCCCCCCCCCCGCCCTGCAAACAGGACGCTGGCGGGAGGGGCTGATGAATTTACGCTCTGATTGGATATATTTTGCGTGACCTGTGACCTGCAAGTCGTCACGGCCACGACCCTGCAAGGTTTCAAACGTCCGTTAAGAGTGAGTCATCACTCTTTTATTCCAATTATTCATAAATGCTTTTGTAAAAGCGTGATAATGTAGGAAAATCTGTAAAATGTATCTGTGTTGTAAATTTGAAATTCCCATCACTTGCTCAGGCTCCGTTTCGAATTCACGAAGTGAATGATTGCACATTGTGCGACGCTCTTAATTTGTCCACATGGTCCGAATGCGCAGTGAACAAGAAATCACATCCGGTATGGAATGTCTGCATTTCTATGGGAAAGTTTTCGGATAGTATTTGCGCGCATTGGCTAACTGCGGTCTTAAACAGCTGCAGCCAGATGCTTTATACATAGGTCATGATAAGTTACCCAGAATTCCATCCCCTCTTTTCTTTACAAGATTTCGTGAAAGGCTCATCAGCGTGAGTCCCAGCGCCCTCAACCTCGTCCCCAGGGTTTCGAGCAGTACGCACCCACCACTACCTGCTTTTGGAAACGAGGTTGGAAATAAAGTAAGCACTTGGGACGAGGTTGCAGCGCCCTGTTTGCAGGGGGGAGGGGTAGGAGAGAAGGGTTCAATACGCAGTCAGGTTTCGAAATGCAGGTAATTTTTAGTGTTTTCATGGAGATACTGTTGTTGTATTTAACTATTCAAAGTCTTAAAGAAACGTTTTCAAGTGTTTTCATATGGATAAATATGTTGTAATATTTAACTATGCAAAGTCTGAAAGAAACAAATGTGCCATTTTGTCTTGTGACAACCATGATTTCAGAGGACAGTGAAATTTGGGCATATACATTTGTACGAGTTAAGACCTCCATAATACAAGCCTTTCCATTAGCCATTGCATTTTGTGCTTGCGCACACAGGCCTTTTACAAATAGACGTGACACACAGAGACATCATTCAGACAAATATCAGACAGACAGACAGCACACACATATAGGATTATCGGTTAGCGATACATGTACATATTCTTGTTGTTACATTATCGGTTGGTGATACGTTATTCGTTGGTTACTACATTATTGTAACAGCCTGCAACCTTTTCTACAGCTGAAACATGAAATTGGCGAGAAGCATCGATACAGCAGCGAGCGCGACGCTCGTGCCAACCTGGCCGGCCGAATTGCAGGAGTCCCCAGTGCAGCAGTAGGTGAATGTGCCCGATGGGTTCTCCACCACAGGCTCCCCACACGAAGCGTTCACTGGAGTGTTGCAGCTTCGCATCACCGTCGACCCCGTCACTATTTTCTAAAAAGGGTTCAAAACAGATGGGGGAAGAATGTGAGCATTATCGGAGAAGGACAGAAGTTTTGTGGAATTATTCGGGAATTATTTTGGGAGTTATTTCGAGGAACATAAGGACGTTTTTTTCAAATACTGTTTTGGATTACAAAGTAAAAAGGAAGTCTGGTACAGCTGTGACCCATAGGGGTGCATACCTGCAAATAAACTCCCATAGACACTAGTGCTAAATGCCCGTACTTCAAAATTCTTTTAAAAATACTCAAAACTCTCACAGGTATTCAAGCTGCACAGAAAAATGATGATCAATGTGTCATCTTTCATTTTCTTTTCAATTTATGGTGGGTTGACCATTGACTTTTCGAGATATTTTCACGCAAAGAAGACGACCCCTGTTTTCCCCAAAGCGGAAAAGTAGCCATCTTGAAAAACGATCCCTCCACAACATGGCAAAATAGCGCCACTTTCGAGCCCAATAGCATCCAAAATGCTCAGAATTGGAAGCCCCAAGTCCGGGCTAGAGGTTCACTACCATATCTCTTCAATTCCCCAATTTTACGGCGCTCAGAACTCTCTAATATAGAATATTTTGAGGGTATAACTTTTATTCATGAGCTTGGCGGATCGATTTACAGGTGTGTACCCTATAATAGCAGGCAACTTTTAAATTTTAACACAAAATCACATTCAGGACAAGCAGAATATCTCCAAAGTCAATATTTTGAAAAAAAAAATGAAAGAAAAATATTATCCGAGGTAGATATTAAGCCCGAAAATAGTGATTGTTTTGCCCCTGCTAAGCTGTAGACCGCCCCCAGCGACAATAAATTGAGTTCCAGCTACTTTTAAGCTCAAAATGCCCCCCCCCCCTTTTCAAGTATCAATTGTTGTAATCGGGTGATAGCCTACTGCTCCCTTATGATTTGGAAGCATCCGTTACGGCAAAAAACCCTTGTTGATACCTTTAAAACACTTTTTCCCCCTCCCCGTAGGTTCCGCCCACTGAAAAGACCACTGCCGCGGCACAGCGCATGCGCGAAACGGCCATCTTTGTGATTCCTTATATATAGGGTGCATACCTGCAAATAAACTCCCATAGACACTAGTGCTAAATGCCCGTACTTCAAAATTCTTTTAAAAATACTCAAAACTCTCACAGGTATTCAAGCTGCACAGAAAAATGATGATCAATGTGTCATCTTTCATTTTCTTTTCAATTTATGGTGGGTTGACCATTGACTTTTCGAGATATTTTCACGCAAAGAAGACGACCCCTGTTTTCCCCAAAGCGGAAAAGTAGCCATCTTGAAAAACGATCCCTCCACAACATGGCAAAATAGCGCCACTTTCGAGCCCAATAGCATCCAAAATGCTCAGAATTGGAAGCCCCAAGTCCGGGCTAGAGGTTCACTACCATATCTCTTCAATTCCCCAATTTTACGGCGCTCAGAACTCTCTAATATAGAATATTTTGAGGGTATAACTTTTATTCATGAGCTTGGCGGATCGATTTACAGGTGTGTACCCATAGAGCGACCTGGTCAACCTCGTTCCCGTGGTGTCGAGCAGTACACCCAAACCTGCTCTCTCATTGGTAGGTTGCGATCTATCTTACCACGCAGGTAGTGGATCTGCTACCGGCGCCAGCTGAGCATCCCTTTCGGTATTTATCTTGCATGGATGCGTCGAATGGATCGGCGCAGTCTTCCTCTCCGGTCGTCCCTGTGTTACACTGAAAGCATTGGATGGATGCGGATCGCTGGCACTCACTCAGTGCCACCACTGCGATCAATGAGTAACAGAATTAGGTTAATGCAGCTATGGGTTCAAGACTACGTGACCCACGCGAATTTCTCGAATCCGAAGGTGGGTTGCTCCAAAGCCATGAGTATAACAATGATAATCATCAAGAGTATTGTTGTTATTTTGTCAACCAACTTTAAAGCATTTGAAAGTACGGCCGTCGTTGAGCTACCACAATAGCCTAGTGGAAAGCGTGGTGAGCTATGGATACGAAGGTCCCTGGTTCGAATCAACGTCGTCGTTGAAACAGTTTGGTTAACATAACCAACCGATTGGTTTGACACCCATTAATTTGTTGCTGGTTATTTCAACCAATAATTGGTTATGTTAACCAATTGGTTTTAGAGAGATGCTCATTTCTTCTCTCAATTTATCTTTGAGATTATTTTATTTGAAGAGAAAACGGAGAACGAGAACCTATTGTCTTGTAACGATGCAGAGGAAATCTAAATTTTTGCAAGCCACCTACGGACAAAAAAAAAATCACATGCCCCTCTCTAGGAGGGACCCACTTAATTTGCATTTTAATCCATAAACCTCCGGCCCCTTACAGTGGCCTTTAGTTTTGTTTAACAGTTGTGTACAATGCGCTGACACTGTCCTTTGTTGTCACATAGTTTTTACATAGTTCCTATTGGGAACCGGTCAGGCAGAGTGTTTATATAAAAGTCAGGAGAGCTAGGTTTAGGTGTGGTCATATCCAACTGGCAGCGGGTCGGAGGAGCTCACATGGGGGTCCTTGGTTTTCTCCGCTTGTACAGATAAGTCTCTGCTACAATGGATCGATCCAGTAAGCACCGCCCCATGGTGTTCTGACCAATCACAGCCGTGATTTATGTCCGATATGCGTGCACAAAAGTCCGACATGCGTGCACGCGCGTATGATGCGCGCAGCAGGAAAATGCAGTGTAGCATTGGCATAGGAGAGGAGCACGTGTTAATTTGCCCACGTTCGCAGTGGGAAGGGCTTACTGGATCGGTCCATTGTTCTCCCTCACCCATTTTAGTTTGGCTCTATATACTTTTGGGTGGGGGATGATGCACGTTTATGCAGCAACCTAGCACTATGGAAGCCAAACCAAGGGAAGCGAAACGTGGGACGACCAATGACCACCGACCACGACACCCAGCTACAACCAAGGGAAATTCATAGCTGGTTGCATGATAGCAAGACGATCTTGGAGAGCCATCACTAATGTCAGACAGCCTGAAGTCGCCAGAGTAAGTAAGTAAGCAGCATCTCGCTGTGCTGATATCCGCTCTGCTCAGGCATTTTATAAACCTGTTAAATTATTCCTATCATTGTGTTACATTACCGGGTATTTCTTTATAACCACAGACTCTATTCGTTTGTGTAATTAGTGATATCTGGCCATCACTTGTCACCCTGTGCACAAACCCTATAGACTGGTCTGAACATTTCGAAGTGCTTTCCTAGTAAATACTTCAATATTTTCCCTGCAAATTTATATATCACCGCTCTGATGCCTGATAGGTCACTGAAGGGAAACATTAGTGATGGCCAGATATGGGAATCTTTCCTTGTAATTATTAAAGGGAATATACATCATTTGCTTTTGCTGTAATTTTCAGAAAAGGATGGAATTGGGGGGTTGGAAATATATAGCAAATATAGTTATACTGACTTTTTGGAGGTTTTGGGTTCGAAAATGCTATAAAAACCAAGAAAAACAATCATTTTCTTGTAGTCTGGTTCCCTGACTCCATATAAGAAGAAACAGAGCAGTTTACATACATTGGGGAATTGTAAGGTCAGGGAACCAGTCTAGCTGGCTTGTACCCGTTCATAGGTGTGTCATCGATTGCAAACAAGTGCGATGGTAAATTGGGGCCAGTATTTGGAAAAAAAGCCAGTTTTTCCAACGCTGGTCGGCCGACCAGCGTTGGAAATTGATACAAAAATACCACTTTTCTTGAAAATGACAGAATACCAGGTGCCATGATTTTACAGGATGCTTTACACTGTCATTAACTAACAGTCCAGCAAGGTATTTCAAAATGATTTGGTAGTTTTATTTTTTTGATGTTTGCAAATGTTGTATTTTCCCTTTAATTTATTAAATTTACATTGTCTAGAGGGTCCTCTGGATTTCCTGAACGAGCATTACGTTCATTGTGTGGACTTCCAATCAAAAGATGTCCACATCTAAATAAACCAGGTAGCAGCGGCTTTGTGTGGACTTGCCCACGTCCACACAATGTTTCCCCCTCTCTGGATCAGTGGATGACAGGTTTAGCATTTTTGGGTTACGTTTATCAGTCGCAAAATAAAGAGAAACACTCAAGGGAATCATAGAAAAAATGGATGGAAAGAATCTTCACGGTGTGAGTAAAATGAGATTTTTCACAGGTTTTTCTTAAACACACGAAAACAAAAGAATGTCCACACTAGGTATGTAACGTAAACATGTCTGTGTTGCCGTGTGTATTTGTTTGAGTGTCCCACTGTCAGCTATAATTACATTACCGCTCGGTCCGTTAAATGGAGAACAAGTCACAGGAAGCCTTATAAAGCTGGACTCAAAGCGTATTTAGTATTACTTTCTACTACAGTATAAACAAATAAGGAATGTTAATGAGTGCAATGGTAAGAATAATTTCATGAGGTGACAGATGGAATGTTCCATTCCACGAGGCGAAGCCCAGTGGAATGGATCTGTCACCGAATGAAATCATTCTTGCCATTGCACGAATGTGAAACATTCAATATTTGTGTTATACCACACCTGAATAAATCCTCGTCATCTGATTGGTTAGAGCCACCCGGTGTAACCGTGCACTGGAACTTCTATTTACCGTGAAATAGAAGTTCTATTTTTGCGGTTCGGCAGGGCCGTGTGTTGGGACGAATAATTCAATGATGACGGTGTGATCAACGACCCTTATGACGGAGATTCGTATATAAAACATATGATCAAGTAAAAAAAAAAAGACTTACCTCCCATCAAAACAAGAAAGATTTTGGCAATCTCCATTTTCATTCGCTTTCCTTGTCACGCGTTGAGACCTATATTCAGAAATGATCACAAGTCGTCATAATCCGTTATGAATAAACATGCAATTTTCATATTTAAGTTCAGTATCCCCATGCATGATTTTTCTAATTTTCGATTTTTTCCCCGACGAAGTTTCAAAAAATATATACGATGTCCTAGAACTAATAATTTTATAAAAACATCTAGATGCAATGATTGCGATAAAAAAAACACCGAGCTTTGTATGTTACGCTTGATTCACGCTGTAGCTGAATCAAGTCTTGGCTCGATTGACGCTGGAAAATGCCAACTGGAGCGAAAATCCCGATGTCCCGTAAGATTTCGTCGATCGTACCACGATCTGACCTATCTCAGTTTTTGTCATTTCGAGAAAAACGCGTTTGAAGTTGGGCCTATTTTGCATCCACCCTTTCACCCAGAACACTAATTTTTGTTGACTCAGTTTTTATATACATGTATAATAAAGTTGGATAGTTGAATTATGATTTTAAATTGTTTCTAAGGCAAAAACTCATCATTACCAGGTGAAAAATAGGCGCCAAATCCATACGTCACTTCGTGAAAATTTCATTTTCATATTTCATGCGCGCGAACGGCGACCTATCTTGATAGGTCACTTCTATTCGTGAAACGAACAATTTCGATTTCTCTGTGGCTGATAGTGACTTATGTCATTATGCGCATGCGCGCGCCCGTCCTCTTCACGTTAAGTCATATGGAGGTTCGTTGCAATCTGTTGTTTTTTATATTAATATTATTGTTGATAGAGATTAATAAGCTCTTACAAATTAAAACGCTGCTATAGTGAAGGAAATTAGAAAATGAATTCATATATATACAGGGTGCATAGAAACTTGTTGAATACATTGTGTACACTTCCTAGTAATAATTCTTGAACGAATTCATTGTAAATGTGTACTTTTATTCCATTATTTTTTTATTCTTATCTGTAAAAAAAATCGAGAAATAAAATCCGTGGACAAAACAGGTATTTTGTTTAAACAAGACTCACAAGCTCAAGTTACACTGAAACAGAACGATAAACGTACATGTACACTCTCATAATCTTCAAATCTTTGTTTTCTATTTTTTTTATTCTTCAAAGTGTACTTACTCATTATTTAAACATATTATTCCCTGAAAAAAGCAATTTTCTGCAGATACTTTCTAAGCCTCCCCCTTAAACAAAATAATGATATATCTCAATGACATACATTAAAAAAAAAATCGGCTGCATTTTAATTAACAATGCTCAAAACGTCAAAACTGAATATAAATAGGATGTTTAGTCGCGTTAATACAATGAAGATTTTGTTTTTTGAGAGTCGACTATCAGAACAGGCCATATTTAAGGGCCACTCAAGGGATAGAAAAGTAAATCTAAGAAACAACTTAATTATGTAGAAAGACAAGTACTGCCTTGATGTTTGAACTGGGACTGACCATAATCAAAAGGAAAACATGATGCAGGTCTGATGTAAAGAGTTCAACAGAGAGGCAGTGCAAAGAGTTGTTCTCAGCAATCTTTCAAATTTAAAAATAAGGACTTTACTTGAAAAGTTTTTAGCAATGAATTTCCTTGATTTGTTCTCAATTACTGTTTTTAGTTTTTAGTTTTACTTCAAACTATAGGTGCATAAATGAAATAGTGCGAGAACTGACAATAAAAGAGGTATCTCTTAATATTTCAAGATAAGTCTCGCATTAGTGAAGGATGTAGATCAAAGGTGATAACAGTGACGGCTAAGGAACAGCTCCTGGTTCAAAGACTGTGGAGTTACAAGCACAAAACATCGAAAATCTGGAGAAATGCACACAAAAAGGAATAGAAATACATTCACTCAACATGTTATCGGCAATCAGTAGTCGCCCTTTGTTTTAAGGCTGAGCATTTTCCTAGTACATTCCGAGGCAGACTGTGGCAGGTGGTTCATGCATTCAGTGATCAATACTTTTTTATTGAATTTAAATTTAGAATCTACATGAACATTTATTTGAATTTTTTTCTTTTAATATAGTCGACATGGAAAAATCAATATAAAACAATTACAGTTTGTTTAAAGGGAATTATTGATAAATCATTCAGAATGTGTTTAATGTCTGGTGTCACTGTCCTTGCAGTCTGTGTCTTTTTTTTAAAGATTTTCACATGTTTTGTATATTAACTAAAACAAATCATGGCAACTGAATTTAACTTTTTTGCAGTTCACCTCATTTATATTCTTTTTGTTTTCTGCATTGACTTTAGAATTGTAACAAGACTGGAGTACTAAAGCAACATTTAAAAAGAGAGAAACGAAGCACAAAACGTAAAAACGAAGAACAGACGCAATGCTCTTTTTGATCTGAGCCGGGCAGTATAAAACCAAAATAATAAGCAGCAAAAGTATGAAAGGTTAAATAATAACCTTTATGTTAAAAAAAATTGCTTACATTCATGCTCCAGGAATCGATCACTTTCCTTTCAACGAAGCGTTTTCAAAACTTCATTCAATTATGTAGACGAATGGTGCTTTGTATAAAGATTTGGCTGCAATTAACTACTGAGACATTCACATTCTGTAACACAAACAAACCAAACCAATCACGAATCATAATGTTAAAAAAGCAAATTAGTTTGGCCCTTTTGTTTAATAAACATTTTCCCGAAAGGACAGTCAGTGAATCATCGTAAATATCAACCGAGATGTCATTTAAAAGCATTAGTTCGGAATCGAACCCCACTCAAGTGTTATTCTGACTGATTATGACTACCCACTACCGTCTACACTACAGTACGCCAATTAGCTAATTAGTGTAGGATTTTGTGCTATCATACACACGAGTCTCTGCAAAACATGTATTTAGACAAAGCCCAACACGAACATATTGCAATACGAGTATCAAAATACAAAAGGAATATACTTACAGACGTTTACAGAATCAGAAACTCGGTTGAAACTTGCTAGTTTCGTTCAGCCATCAAACGACATGTGTACACCGCCATTGTTTCTGATAACGCTAAAGACTGGCCCCTAGTAACTCAATTTCATAAGAAAGTGATAGGGACCATATTAAGTCCAGGTACCAGACTCTATAAGTCACTTCGTGGAAAACTGACAGCGTTGTTTACGCGTTTCACGAAGTGACCTATCTCGATGCGTCAGTTTGTGAAATGATAGTTTTGCATTTTGTAGCGATAGGTCAACTTTTTAATTAGCTGAAATAGCTTAATTAGCTAATTAGGCCACTTATGAATTTGAAATTTTTAGAAAATAAAGATTTCATCATGCATAACCAGAATATGCTAAAAACCCAAATTCGTCAAGTACGATCGGCGATTTGTGAAATAACACTCATTACACAATCTCGATTCATTACTTTAGGTCTTTGGTCCTCTCATTACTTGTCTCTGTGTTGACTCCAACACCCTTCGCCAACCCCCTTGATCCGCCATGGGCAGGCTTTTATTCACCGCAAGAGCTTTATCTATTGTAGATTTATTGTAGATTTGCTTGGTAACTGTCCATGTTTGGCATCCATAAGTAATCATTGTTGGAAGTATGCATTGGTCGAAAACCCTTTTCTTCAATGATATTAGTAGTCTCTTTCACAGATGATTTCTTGATATCTTCCGAATAGATCCCATCCTGCCTTCATTCTTGTGAGTATTCTTCTTTAGTTGTGTCTTGCATCTTTAGGGTTTGACCAAGGTATTTGCATTTCTTTGCTTGTTCCATTATTTCATTATCAATTTTGACATTGACTCGAGAATCATTAATTGTCATAAATGTTGTATTTCCGTTGCATGTTGAACCCAAATCGGTTGCATTCTTGGTGCAGCTTGTTCAGTAGACTTTCTAGGCTTTTGATGGTGAGTCTGAGAACTTTTTATAGCCACATCATCATCAGCGAATCTAAGGTTTTATAGTGATTCTCCATCGATGTTGATTCCCTCCTCTTCCAGCTCTGCTAAATACTATTGCGTTATTTCGCAAAAAGTATTGCGTTATTTCGCAAAAGTGTCATATTGCGTTATTTCGCAATACAAATATAATTTTGCTTTTTATGGTACGAACGGGCTTCCGTCGTATCAGCACTTGCACTGGTGCCAGCGTACTCTGTGAGGGTGTTTGTACACGTTCCCCACCCCCCCCCCCCAATAAACCATTATATCGACATGAATAAACTACGTTTCAAATGAGTTACTCCAAAATATTACCCAGTCCCATGCGTAAGTCTAAGCATAGCGTTCATTCAAATAGAAGTAAACGTGTACATTCATAATCATATAGGTTTTCCGCGATTCGAGGAATTTGTCCTTGTGGAAATAGCCATGGGCGTGTGACAATATTATGCATGTTTGGCGCTGGCGTACTAAACTAAACTACTATATGCCTAATGTTGTGGCATTAAACACACGTCCACATTTGCCAATGCCAATATTAGGGAATGATAAATATAAATAGGGAGCTGTCTGAAGTAAGCCTTTACATCATAATCCTATGGGGAAAAAATACAATTTTGTAGGTGTATTGACGTATAGGCCAACTATAGACAAATCGACAGAGCAAGCCTTACCGTCTTTCCAGTGGTATGTTTACACTGTGCAGATACCGTCTATAGTGGTAGAAAATGGCACCTACTTCCTGGACTGTCTGATCATTGTGCAGTCGAGTCGCGCGTACAACTTCAACTTGCATTTCAGTATTGTTATTATTGTTGCATGCAATGAATATGCAGAGCGTCACGGTTTATTAAAGGAAGGTGAAGGTCTGGTTTGGGCATTTCCTCCACAGTTTGGCACGGTATTCCGGCAACCGTGTCAATGGATCTGCGTGGAATGTACCACACATTGACGGTGTAGGGGGAGCCGGTTGCGCTCCCGGCAGGCGCCTTGTTTTAGGGCAAGAATTCGCCCTTTGCGGGTCTAATTATGCGTCACGCGTCTCAAGAGGCGATCAAAATTAAAAGATCGTTAACAGTCGAATATAATTAATAAGCAATCGTACTTCATGAAAACCCGAATCACTGAAAACAGTTTCGTACTTATTGCGCAATGGGGCGCGGCCTGGGGTACACAAATCGCTGTTTTGTTAGAGTGAAATGTAAGACATTATGGCCTATATTGATTTTTTTTGGGACCCATATCCTTGTAATACTGCTTGTAAACTTTCACGATCTTCGTACGACACTGGTTACTCATTTTGGTAAAGCCGAATAAAAAAAATGTTTCTCGTCTGGGTTTTTGAAAAAAAGGAGGAAGAGGGTCTATTTCTTTTTAAAAAATTCAAGATGGCTGCGCCATTTTAAAATTTCCTGCAACCGTTGGTGTTTCCACTGTTCAAAGACACTTTTAAAATGAAAGTTGGACAAGAGAACTGCATGAACATATTTACAGTGTCATTTAGATTTGTATTAGTCTGCAATGAACAGTATTTATTTTCCGATGAATTTATGGACTTTTTCGGTGTTTTTTACTGTATTTTTCAAAAATAAAAAATGATAAAAAAAAATCCAGGCGGCCCCCAAAAAGGAAGCAGGCGGGGACGAGAAACATTTTTATTTTTTACTTCGCCTAATGGTTGTTTTTTTAACTCCCGCCAGCAACTACCGCGAAAGAAGGCGGAGTCACACAGTGCACGGCCATTTTATGCTATCCTTGAAAATGCACCTTTGTGTCCTGTGAGTTAATCTCAATTTCAATTTTCGTTTTGCCAATTTAAATGGTATTTTGATGCATTTTTTCTTAATTGATAGTGGTGTCCTTTGGGAGGCCTTCCAATGTTTTGCTTGCAACACCGTGACGGACACTGGATGATAATGCAATTTTCTATATTCATGAGCAAAGTTGTGATGTCATTCCGGGTCGAAACCTCAATGTTACAGCTATTTCAGCACCAAAAGTTGCTCGAATTTTCGACATTTTGCTGTCATAATTTTTCTTTTCTTTGGTGATTCGAAGTGCATGGCAGTAGGCCTATATTCAATGCACAACCCATTTTTTTTCATAAATGTTCTTAATGAGCAAAGTTTGGATACACCGATCACAATTTGAACAGAAACCCCTAAACTGAACAGTGTCTTCCTGAAATGACGTCATAGCAACAGCGCCCTCAGTTGTCTGGAAAAACATAGCAACAGTTAAAGAAGTGTACTTTCCAACAAAAGTATCGAAATGGGATGTCAAATAATCTTCATACATTTGAGTGGAGTAGAAAATTGCCAAAAAAAAAAATTCCTAAGAAAAATTCATGCATGCCCCTTTAAACATATTAATTCACTGACATATTTTGTGCAAGTCTTCTGAATTTACAGAGCTATGAGACATCCCTTTGAAAACTGCACTGTTTAAAACTGTAATGTCATTTTCAAGAATTGCTCAAGAAAGATTCCATGTTTAATACGATACCACTTTGAAGGAAATAAAGCTGGAAGCTTGTTTTTATTAACAACATTTGTATTTAACTAAATATTCTAGATGTCCTCATTTACTGCATATCAGTATCAGACGGTTTCTTGCATACAATATCATAACACAATAAAGTTGTTTCCAATTCCATAAATGCAGTAAAAAAAAATGCTTTACAAAAAAGGCTGCAGCAGACGAATTTCAAAATTGATACATATAATGGCCCGCGTGCCACATCTCTTTTTGTTGAAGATGAAAACGAAAGGATCCAAATTCAAGCTTGGAGAATTGCGCAGTAAAAGCGTTGGTTTGGCTTTGAAATTCGCCTATTATAGCCCACAATGCACTTTATGCGCTGACATGCTTCATTGCACGCGGAACCAACTGGTTATTATTTTCAATCAGATTATTGCGCCCAATATCAGCCGTAGAGACCTTTTTTCAACAAATACAATAACATGTGTGTACAGACACACACGCAACAATTTGATAGGCGCATGACAACGATTAGTTGGAGTGTATAATGATGCCTGAATAAAGTGCTAAAAGTCTTGTACTATGTGTACGTACGTACGTACGTAGGCCTATACCAAAGTTGGTTCGCGTTCTTGCAGCAAAACTGAAAACAAGTCACACACATCCCTAGGGTGATTTGTTTTCGTTTTGGTGAAAGAACACTTACTGGTATCTTTTTGTAATCTGTGGACAGAACTTTAAAAAGGTGGTTGTGTTTAAAATTCCGTAACCTGACAATTAAGTGAGTTATAATTATTTGAGTGATGATTCTTGAACTAAAAGAATTGGGCTTTCATATCCTACAGTTTCAAAGTGCTACATGCAGAACTTCACACTGAAACAATGGTCCAGGCATGGGTTTCTGGGTTAGTTTTTGACACCCTGTTCTTCATCAAAACCAAGTATTTTACCAACGCGACAAAATGGTTTAAACACAATGCGAGTCAAGCATGAGACAAGAGTTAAAGCCGAACTAGAGTCGAAGCCAAGGGTTGGTAAAAACGACCAGCTATTCAGCGCCGACAGTAGAGTATTAAAAAGCAACTAACTGTAGCATATTACATGTATAATAATTCTGAGTACAAAACAAGTTCAAGTGAATATCATAATGAAAGTGAGGGAAGGATGCATGGTTAACGTATTACAGGGTGTATAAAAAAAAAGGAAAAACCAGATGTAAATGTAAACTATAAAAAAAATCTATTAACTATTTCAAATAATAAGTTAAAAGATCATGTGATACACAAATGTGTCCTCTTTCCAATGATACCTTGATTGTGTGTCTGTGGCCACGGATGACTGAGCATTCGTTGTTATTCTGTCAAGGATCAAAACCTGTACTGGGCCAAGTTTGTGCAAAATGGTAACTGGTATTCTGGGCAAGTGGAACGGCTTAATTTGAAGAAAGAAGACATCCATCTCTTTAAAACAATTTATTTAATTTTGACACACCGATTTTACGACTCCCGTGGTTGAAGCTAACCCCTCATGGCCCAAACCATTCAACGGGGCCAACACCTCTTTCCACACAAAGCTCTGCACGAAGTAGTCGATTTCAGACTTTGTACAACAAACCAGCCAGCCATGGCCACAGACACACAATCAAGGTATCATAGGAAAGAAGGCACATTGGCGTTTCACATGATCTTTAACTTATTCGAAAATATTTGTCAGTTTTTTTTATAATTTACATTTACCTCTGGGTTTCCTTTCTTTATACACCTTGTACAGTCACATCACAGGAATCCAATCAAACTTAACCCGTGGTTAAATTCATAATGAAAAAAATATGGTGGTGACATTTTACTACGGGAAACCATGAATTGGTTTCGCACAAACACTGTCTGTTTGATTATTCAGTCTTTCAATGGGGGTATGGTTCGAATTCCATGATTAAAAAAAATACAAACAAACATGTAAACTAGCTACAGGAATAGAAAAATGCTAACAAAATGCCGAAGTTTTCTGAGCCTTTATTAAAGCGGCCAGACAATCGTCGTCAAACATCTTTAGTAGAACATGCGAGTGAGTACGAGCATGGCGGCAGCCAAGACGAGGTTGAAGCCCACGGTACCGGCTGAGTTGCAGGAGTCGCCCGCACAGCAGTAAGCGCAATTGTCGCCCTGGCACTCGTACGATTTCGCACATGCATTGCCGATGCCACACGTACGGGCAACGGTCGAACCGCTTGTTACTTTCTACAAAGTGGAAGAAAGAAAAAGAAAAGTTGCTCCCGCGATATCCCGAGACTATAATTATATTGAGACTATATTGCGAGTATATTAGCCTTTCGCCAAGGCCACCGTGGCTTAGAGCTGCGATACTGCGAGCGACTGCAGCAAAGACTAATTCAGCGGGCACGAGTGGCAAGGCCACTCGCGTGTGGTCTCCCGCTCCAGTCGTTTCGCCTTTCGCCGCTTTGTCTAATGCCGGCGCAGTTTAAAAATAAGCCATGATGGACTTGGCGCAAGGCTAGACACTGCATTGAGGGTATCAGGGAAGTAAAATGAAAGAGTCCTTAGACAAACGAGACTATACCATCGAGGCGGGGATTAGAAAGGCTTGACTGTAACAGCTCATCTAAAAACAAAAATCTAGTGTCACCCCTCGACGGAGAAATATTTGCAAATAAAGTGGACTGTTCAAGAAATCTATGGCATGACAGATGAATTAAAAATTTACCAGGCATATGGAAGTCGCCGGGCAGGCCACTCTGTACCTGGACTGCGCCGACGCATCGAATGGGTCGCCGCATCCGGTGCCCGTCACGCTGCTGCAAACGAAACACTGGAAGGCCTCCCCAACGGCCACCACTAACAATGAAAAACAGACCACATAGATAAGACATAAGACATCCAAGACATTAAGATGTCTAAGATATGCATTATACATCCATATTAATAGATTTGCCGTCTTAGTTTATAACCATTGCTCACCTCCAAGGAAAACCAAAAATACTGCGACCAACTTCATCTCGACAGCGTTCTTCGCAAGGGTTTAGCGGAGCTGTTTAAAAAAAAACATAGAATGACGAAGGTTTTATTATGGCTCGTGCACGCTTTGGTTGAAACAGCTTTCGTTTTGACGGTAGTGAAAATCACGTGCAAAGAACAAGCTTACTTCTAAGATTATTGAGGGAAATTGTGTGTGGTCCATGATAAATAATGACCGAACTCTTTTACATGCCCACATGCAGTGTTCATTCTATCCACGGTTTCATTCGTTCTCTGCATATGATGTTTGTTGCCTGCATAGAAACAGCATATCCCACGCGCTGCATGGTTTCATGGGTGCCACGCCCTAATTTCTGCCCGGATTTTTTTGGAGGTTTTGGCGGTTTTCTGAGCCTTTTCGCCCTCTGTTAGTGTCGACATTGTGATCTTATTCACGTTTTGGTGTCATCTAGCGGCGACATTGTGCGCAGAAAAGAGATATTCAAACGCAATAATGAAAAACCCACCTTATATTTTCAGTCCGAAGAGGATGATGATACTGGCGCACAAGCTCGCAAAAATTAATGTGCATGCAAACGTACGAGCAGTCAAACCACGTATGGCGGGGAGGCTTGTACATACTGTTGATGTAAACTTGAACTTCGCAATATTTCACAGGTCCCTATTCAAAGGCAATTTGCATATGCACAATGGGACTGTGTTGTGTTTACTGCCTTCGATTGATTGGTGACTATTGTGGTATAGGGCCTACGCAATATCCATTGGTGTATCACAAATTAGTCCCAATTCAGTGCATTGTTAGTTCCCATGTTGGTTGTTTTGTTTCTTGGTATTATGTTTCTGTTTGTCTCTTATTTAGTGAAAGATTTTTATTGGTTTTTTTTGGCGCTCCTGTCTGTCTGTTTCCATTTTTAAGTGAAAGGTTTATAGCAACAATAGTCGCGTGTGTGTGTATGTGAATAGTCACCGTTCTCTAGAGTTCCAGTCATGTCACCATAAACACGTGACCCATAAGCATACGCTCGGTCTTTTACAGATAGAGCCGGGTAACTCTATAAACCGTTTTAGTAATACATTCATAATTATGCACGCATGCGCATAATTAGGCCTGGCGGCAAGAAGCGAAGGCTGTCCATTGAAAATTTACAGGGGAACACCATAATATTCGGTGCATTTTATCTCTATTTCTCCAGGATTAGTCGCTTTATTTAATTTAGAAAAGGCCCCTAAAATCGTCATTGGCGTTACTATGTGGACTATACAAGTGAGTCTTTTTTTGGGGGGGGGCACATAATTTTTTTTTTTTTAATTACTGTGACGACCTGCAGTCGTCCCTTATTTATGATGTCATTGTTTATAAATAGTCTTGGCTTTAAGCGCCGTGGACGGCTCCTACTGTGCATGTATTTTTGTGCGAGTCACTCCCATTTTCCACAGGTGGAAAATGAGTGCGCCCTCTCGTGACTCGACCATGCAGTGACCACGCTCCACGAAACTTGCAGCCAATCAGGGATAAGGGAAGGGTAGAACAATCCAATCACAATTCAGGGGCGGGGTTTAGGACAACTAATTGTAAGCATCCTTGATTGTAAGTGAGATATAAAGTATGTGTTGAGTTAAATAAACGAGGAGAACTGGTTTAGAGCTGAAACCATACAGACGTGTCTGTGTCTCTCTCTTGCTGTTGTAGGTTATTCAAATACATGTACATGCAGTGTAAGTGATAATTTCTAGTCTGCACTACTAAGCAGGGAGATTGGAATCGGCACTGTCACCACGCTACCCAATGACAGACCGGTGCCGATTCCAACCTAGCCTCTCGCCAAGGCCATCGTGGCTTATAGAAGCGGAGCTGCGAAATCCCGAAGCGACTGGAGCAAAGATTAAGTCAGCACGCACGAGTGGCAAAGCCACGAGGCCTTTTCGAACTTGATTTGTTGAATTATTCATAGTTTTTATGCAAATAAGAAGAGTGCTGAAAGGTTAACCAATCACAACGCGGATTTTGCCTAGTCGCTTCCATTTGTGAAAGAAGGGTGAGTAAAAAAAAAACGTAAGAGCAAATAACTAAGTTCAGATGACAAAAAGTTCATACACCCAAATCATTTCTTGAAATTCTTTTATAAATAAAATTACAACAAGATAATGTAAAGACATTGACGTGGTCACGATCTCGTGGAAAACTAGACTCGCATTTTTATTTTGTATTTTGTGCAAGCATCGGGGTGCGTCGACGCGTCCGGGTAATAGCCACGCGCGCACTAAAAGGCTGATGATTGGTTGGAATTTTGCTACCCTTTTGGGGTAGCAAAAATCGAGATTATAAAGAAAAACATAAGAAATTCTTGACAAGTTGGAAAAGGCCCTCGTGGCTTCGCCACTCGCATGAGTGGTCTCCTGTTCCAGTCGCTTCGCTCTTTCGCCGCTTTGTCTAATGCCGGCAAGTTAAGTCACGATGGCCTTGGCGAAAGGCTAATTCCAACCTGACAAGACTACAAATACCCGCTAATGAGTAACCGTTTGGATGACAGCAAAGGTCTGTTACATTACTTTAATTTCGTCTCGTGCGTAAGGGCGAAGGAAATCAGCAGGACTCCTTTGTGCAAGAGTGGACCCAAAAAACAACCACCACCGTGTGCGTGATTCAGCCCCGGTAAAGTCCGGCGCGATTCAGTTTCGCGAGTCAGCCCGAAACGGTGGACGGGTATCCCGAAGCACGCGGTTATTTTTTTCCGCTCATGCGGAAAGGAGCCCCGATGAAATTTTATCCTGTGTCCCAGAAACTCACTTAATAGGCCAGACAGTAATGCCCATGACGATTTTATGGGCTTTTCTAAATATAAAAATTGACAAATTCAGGAGAAATTGAGAGAAAATGACCTGAATATTTTGGACCCCTGTATATTTTCAATGGACCGCTTTCGCTTCTTGCCGCCAGGCCCATTTATGCGCATGCGTGCATAACTATGAATTTATAAGTAAATTTATAAGTCCATTGGTACATTAGGACGCAGGCCGCTAGCAATTTTTTTTCCATATCATACATTCGCTACTGTATAGAGAATTACGCTGGAGGGCGCTATACATGCAATAAATATTATGCTTAACTTGAACAAACCTGTTGAGCGAGTCACTGTTGAGTCTACTTGCACTGTGCATATGTACGTCATGAGTTCGAATCCCACTTGAGGTGATTATCTTGACTTCTTTTAGTAAATATCGCAGGCCGCTGAGGTCGAGCTTGGGACGATACGACTGACTTTTCAGCTGCTCCTGAGACCCAACCGTCTAGACTGGTTCCCTCTCCCATCATACGGAGACCGGTGTACTAGTTCCTATTTTAAAGCCATTGATTGGATCACATGAGTGCCTTAATTCTGGTCAAGATAAGAGCATACACTTTCAAACTCGAAAACTTTACTACACGAGAACAAAGAAATGTCCCAGTATGTATGTTTGAGTTTGCTTCTGCATTAGGGACGTTGAACAATAGAGGACAATAGAGGGTCCTTAATTCCTGAAGGTCAACAATTATTGACGATCGTGTACAAAACATAATTATGGGAGGTCGTAGTTTATGCTGTAGGCCTATAGACACTAAAGAAAAGGAACGAGTAGACTGCAGCATCGACTTAAAATATAAGTCTCCTCCAAGCCTCTATCTGCTGTATTGTTTGTAAGAACAGATTTTTTCCGGGGGCGGGGCGGGGGAGGGGTGTGTCATGACCTCCCCTATCAAGGGCGGATCGGGGGGGGGGGGCAAAGGGGGCCATGGCCCCCCCCCCAAAAAGGAACCAATTTTTTTTTTATGTGACATCGCAATAAAGGCAGGCAATGAGTACACCACCATCTTTTCCTCAGAAAAACATTGGTTAAAGTGGTCAGAAATTGCCTCAGATCGCACCACAGAGCATCTAGAATCCAAAATTTTTTCGGGGCCCTTAACCCTAAAAGGGCCGGGGGGGGGGCGGAATCCGCCCCCCCCTCAACATTTTCCGCGATAGCTTCTAAAAAAAATTTTTTCGCGACCCGAGCTGTTATGACTTTTTAGCCTCAAGCTTTGCGCATCTTTTGATACCAAAAACATAAAAATCGGACCACGGGTTGGCACGTAGCGAAAAATTTTCCGGCGCTACGCGCCGTGAAAAATGAATTTTCGCATATATGTCGTGTACACTGAGCAGAATTGCCATTCATACATATGAATAATTAATTAGCCATAATTCCAAAACCCTTTGACCTATAGTCATGAAATTTCTTGGGCATGTTAAGGAAGAGTTGCTCTATGCATGTGCTGAGTTTCAAAATTTTTCGTCACTCGATGGCCGAGATCTTAGGGGGGGGGCGGAATCCGCCCCCCCCCCCCCGGCTGAGAGATGGTCAAAATAACCCGGCCCTTTTAGGGTTAAGCGGGCCCCAAACCCCACGCCGTAATTTTTTTGACCCACTTTTTGGGGGGACCAAATTTTTTTTGGCCCCCCCCCCAAAAAATGTGTTCTGGATCCGCCCTTGTCCCCTATTGGTTCCCATGGTCACACACCACCCCACCCCATCCCAACTCCTCGGATCAACCGGCCACATTTGGTAATGGAGGTGCGATAAAGCATCGAAACAGTTCCTTTAAAATACCTGCCAAGACGAGCGTTGTGCAGTATCGGTGCACCAAAGGTAATACAAGCGGACGAGTCATCTATATACATGAAGCTAGCAAGGCAGTTCTCAAAATGTTCAAAATAATCCGTGTTGTTAAAGTTGCATACCCCATCATCTCTTAAAAAAAAAGGAATTTTTATTCTAACGAATTTTCAATTTGTATGTTTTGATTTAACGGGAAAAAAAACAACTATAGGGCCTACTTTATTCCGACTTTGCGCGTCTGCACTCTGCAACCCTCTGAAAAAGGGCTTTCATTTTGTGCACAAGCGAGCCCAACTTGTG